AATTGAATTGTCAATGTAGGCATTGAAAAGCGTGCACATGTGTATCTGTATATGTATGTATCTGAAACTTTGGCAGACACAAGGCCAACACATCCATGTACTCGTGATTGCGTCTGAGATGATAGCGTGTTGAGATGTTTACGAACGGTATGAAATCAACTCATTTTTCTAATGTAATTTTTTCGTTACTGCATCGATAGTAATATACATTTTGGAGCTTAAACAATGATATCCAAATATTGTTACTTTACTTTTTTGCAATTTTTTTTAATACCAACACAGCCTGTAAAATTTCACAAATATTTAAATAGTGCAATGAGTTTTAAAGTATTAAATATGTTTTTCGAGATATATTTGTCTTTCGCAAAACCAGCGTTTTTCTTTTATTAACTTTTTTATATAATTTAGAAAATGTATTAAATTCTCACAAGGTATTTTCATATAGGTACACAGGACTAATATATTAACTTTTTGTTATTTATTTTTAAACATTATTATTTTAATATTTTACATATAAGAACATTTTAGATAGATTAGTATTATACGAGATTGAAGTGGACATCAACTAATCAACTATCATATCAGTCGAGTGAGCAAATTCAATTACTATTTTCGAAACTTCAGTCCGAAGTTTTCCTAAAAATAAATACAGTTTAGAAAAAATATCTGAAAAAATGCATTTCTAATTTTAAATAACTCGTATTCGTAAATATAAAAGTTATTTATAAAAACCAAAAAAAAATGTTATAATTTTCTGGGTGATTTGAAGTAAGGCACAACACGCGGTCATCTCTACTGCGTTCTTCCATATTCAAACAGTTGCCAAAAACGCTGCCTTCTGCCTGCTTTCTGGCAGCACATTGCCCGAGGGTTCCGACTCGCTGGTCCTGGCATATTTGATTTTCTAATTTGCATTTGATAAGCAAGAAGCAAACTGAGCTGAGTCGAGTCGAGCAGAGGCGGAGCTCAACGCGATTTGCCTTTGTCCTTGGCAGCCTTTTGTTTTGTTTTAATTCCATTGAGCTGGGCATGCTGCTATCTCATATTATCCATTTAGAAGTTGCCATCATTCCCTATCTGAATGCTCCGTCGCCCATTTGTTTGCCGACAATTTTATTAGGTATTTGTATTTCTATTCTCATATACTCGTCTTCAGTTTTGTTGCCTCCGTAACTTTTCCCCGGGCCACTGCCAAATTACGTATGAACATTAGCACAATCTTTTGTTTGTGTATGTATGTATGTGCGTGTGTGTTTGTGTGTTTCCTTTGGCAAAGTTATGCAGGTTTGAACCGACTGAAATTAAAAATTCCCAAGAGCACTGTTTGACAATTGCACAGTATGTGTATTCCCTTGAGTCACAACTTTGGGGCAGCCCCAACATAAGTCCGAATTTCCCTGTAGGTACCCAATACTGAAAAAAAACATCATTTGTTCATTTATTATGCATACCAATTGTATATTTTGCTTCTTTTATTGTATATCAACTAATCTTAATATATATATATATATATATTTATATATGTATATATATGCGTAAATTTTAATTCTTTATATTGAGTATTTATTAATGACCGTTTCATTTATTGATTTAAATATTTTCATGAAATATGGAAAGCTACTTTGATTTTTTGTGATGCAATCGGAGAACAAATTAAAGAATGTCGAATGTTATATTTGAAAAGTTTTAGTATCTAAATGGGCATGTCTTTGATAGTGCACCAGCGCATAATTAGTTCACATGCATGGAATAATAAAAACTTCAAAACACGATTTCGAAATTTCTTAAATGCTGCTAAGCAAAGGCTCTGTATCTGCTTTTGATTCCTGAGTCCAACACAATGAACAATTAATTTTTGAATAACGTCTACGCTTATTGTCCTCTCGTCATACAATGTATAGAGCATATAGATAACATTCAATTGTGTGTGGGTTTCTGAATTTATTGAGAAGATTTATTATTCTTAAGCTGTTTAGGCTATTAAATTGCATTTGATTCTGCCTTTTATAATCTAAAATAAGTTGATCATTGATTAAGATCGGCCAAGCAGATAGACGGACATGGCTACATTGATACGGTTGTTGATGTTGATCAAGAATATATATGCCTTGTGGAGTTGGAGATGTTAACCTTCTTACATACATATACCCTTTTTACACATCTTTAATACATGAGAAAACCGAGAGTTTATTGAGCTTTAAAGGAAAAAAGTCATCTATGATGTATAAATTGCGAGACGATTTCATAGGAACAAATAAGAATGCAGGTAATTTGAATATGTTGTTTACATACATCGTATGTGAGAGAAAAGTAATTGGCGAGAGGTTTATTTTGATTATACATAGATACATACATAGAACTGGCACTTGTTTGGTTCCTTCAGTGGCAAGTCGGGGTTGCACCTAAAACAATACGATTTGTGTATTATTTTCCCGACGACATCTGCTCTCCTATCTCTAGTAGGTCACGCTTTCTTTTTTATTATCTAAAGTGTATCTTGAGAAGACACTAAAAGAACCACTCGTGTGCCCGTCATAAGAGAACTTTTGCTAGCTGCATTATCCGATGCAATTCGTAATTTTGACAAAAATTTTAAGTATAAAATTGTGCATTAACCCATGGGAATAATAAATACAGTTTCAACTGACTATTATTGTTATTATTATTTGTATTCATATTTTAATTTGAATACGCGAAGAGTAGATTATCTAACACTGTTCTACAACTCGCACTTAGAACAACTCAAAAGATGAACCACAATATTAGATAATCTTGTCTAGCAACGATTATGAACAGCTAACAAAAATCAGTATCGCCCATAGTAAACACCTGCTAGTAGATATTTATCTCAACTAAAATTATTTCCAAATAAAATTAAAATAAATATTGAACAATAAGTTAGCATAAAGAAGATACCTACAAATAATACTGCGTATTTTACAATTTATTAAACTAAAGCATAATTATAATTAATAGTACTAGAAACACTCTGTTCAAACAGAAAAACAACTATCACAATGCCGTCCTAAAAACTGAATAAACTATCATAAACTTCTCTGGCAAAACAATCAATGTTTAAAAATTAAAGTCGAATAACATTTCTCAAATGTCATTCACATTTGTTCAATTTGTTTATAAATATAGGTTTGTAAAACATGAACTGTTTGTTGTTTGTTATTCGTCCAAAGAGATGAAAGATCTATTGTATGTGGATTTTGTAAGCGTGGCGAAATGTGTGATTTAAAGCTTATATTGTTTTTGATTTTTTTTTAGCTGAATATTGCAGCATTTGCCAGTTTGAGAGTCAGCACAAACTTCATGTTTGTATGCAATGTATGTGTGTTTATGTATATTACCTTTGAGCTCAGACATTAAGTCAAAAGTTGCTAAGTAAAAGTATGCAAGTAAATTATAAATTTTATAATCCGAATTCTCATGCATAAGAACATTAAAATTTGTGTAGATATCTGTATATATTTATAATAAAGCATAGAATTAGTGTATAAATATATATATCTATAAATACATATGTATATATGTATATTCATGGTTTGCATATATGCATACATATACCTACAATACGTATATGTTTAATAACGATACTGTTCATAATGTGCACGTAATAATAAACAATAATTATAGATTTAAACCCATTCAGCACATATATAATACGACAAATGACTATTTCCTTAAGCAACCTACTAAACATTTTAGTACATATATTTAATATACATATAGTATATGTATATACAAATGAATCTCTAGAGTTCAATGAATACTTATTAATCATACCAAGCTAAAAAAAAATGGTGAATTATTTTACTTAAACTCTTAAAATAGAACTGAAATCGGGCCACTAAATAAACTTTTAGGTTGCGTAGAAGTATCATACAATTCGCAATGTAATTCTGCCACTATTAGGACAATTTGTAAATGGACCAAAACTATTCAAATAAAATTTATTTTCAATTAGTATATATATATAGTTTCTGTAGGCTATTTCTTAAATTTGATATAATTATCAAAACAGAGAAAGAAAGATAAACTGTTTTTTATAAACATTATGATTCGACCAAATTGATGAAGATGTTCAACAGCGAGTTGATGACTTGGACAATTGATGATTTGACAATGTTGCCATATCATAAACTACTATAGCTAAGCAATTATGTTAATCTTATGCCTATTTAAATTTGCCAGAACTCTAAAGATATATACTGTATATACTGATGTCTGCAACAATCACCATGGTACAGGCCCCGAGAACTAGGCAAACTCTTGCTAAATCTAAATATATGTGCAATTCTTTCCCTTAAGCCATCATCCCTAGCAACACTATGATCCTAGCTGTTTATTCCTGTATGTATCATAAAATCAACCAATATAATCCACTTCAGAATAGCTCTGATTCAACAATTACGTAGATTTGCTTATTGAAATGGATACTATCGTGTATTTATATGATTCCAGTTGGTCTAACAACTTGCCCCTTTTGCATAAGCATTCCAATAAAATAAAAATATAAATCAGTGGACAGCACTGAGTTACGGGCTTACAGGGCGAACTGCTTCCAAAGGTCCTTCAATCCCTTAGTTTCAGGAGCACTAAACAAATAGCTTGCACGTCATTTTTACCATTACAATTACCAGCTATGAGACTAACAACTACTACTAACAGACTACCACAAAATACCATAAAATTACGTGCTCCCTCTCGTTCTCTCACTCTAGCACTCTCGCTCTCTCACTCTAGCACTCTCGCTCTTTCATTCTCTCATTTAAACTGGCTTCTGTTTTTGCACTTATGCTCTGTCTCGTATCATATTTGCTGTTGCTATTTTCATTTGAGTATAAGTCTGTGTGCATGTAAGGGTTTTATGCATCATCACTTTTAATTATTGTAAATCATTATTCATAGACATATATATTTATTCATATTTATATATATATATATATATACATATATATATATATATGAATAATATATTATATAATAGAATGTATAAAGAGATAAGGTTAGGTTTAGGTTTAGGTACAGGTATACGGAGCATGAGAAGAGAGGGCGAATTCGTGGCGCTACCAACCGCTACTGCTGCTTTACGGGCTACGTCCGATTTGCAACCAAGCGAGCATTAACTGCAAAGACGGCTGTAGCACAACTAGTTTTCAGATATCAGTATTGATATTGATTCGGGTCAGAAACTCGCCTTGCGAATCGGCCACAGCGCGTATTATCTCCAGCAACAGTTCGCGCGACAAACCGGCTATTTTGGGCAGCCTGGCAACTTTAGCAAAATCTTTCACAATCAATTTCAATGCATAATCCTTGATGTCATAGATTTTTGTTATGTCGGACGCCTCCAGCGTCTGCAGCACATTCTCCGACGTAATGTTATGTTCCAATGAGTATTTGCAGAATGCGTGCAACCGATTGTTGGACAAACCATAGAAACAGGGTGCCTGGAACAGGTATAATGCATCCTGTGGCGGCATCTTTGTCTCCCCATAATATATATAGCGGAGCAGCGAATGAAAGGCCTCTAGTGAGGGTGAGATTTCGCCAATTTGTATCTGAGTGATTGGGTTGTATTAATGAATTATAACAATAGCCGATAGCAAATAACGGTACTTACATTAACAGTATTATCCGGTGGCATGAACGAGCGGAACATGCCCTGGAAATAGGTACAACGTGACGATAACACAGATTTGTGAGCTGGTATCACATGATCCTCTAGTATTAGACTTATATCGCAAAAGTCCTTGCCCGTTGTCTCCAAGAACATGGACAAATCGTGCTCCAGCGTAGTGCCTACAACCCCAACATATTTTTGTAGATGTGAATATAAATATTTGTTTGACATTGTGTTTCTTTTATTTTTCTTTTAATGTTCGCTAACTGTTTTCAAGCCATCTTTGCATGTTAGGGAACATTGCCACATATCTCTATTTGAGATTTTGTTATGAACTCAACAAATACGCTTCATTTGTTGAGTTTGTTCTAATTTGATTTCGATTTGCATAGATTTTGAATATATTTAAATTTATACTCACCAATATTCGATTCATAAGTAGTGTCTATCACCAGCTTGCTCGGATGCAAACGCTTACGTATTATCTCGACCAGCAGTGGCTTGTCCAGATCACTGAACTCACTGGACATGACCACTTCGGTAAAGTTCTCTTCCTTGATGATGAACTGCATGCAATGATCCTTGATGATTTTAATGCTGACGTAAATTGACACAAAATTAAATAAAAAATTGAAGTTGGAAAATGGAAATGGATCAGAACTCACTTGTTTTTGTCAGCATTGTAAAGAGCCTCCAGCACATTTATTTTGTTGATCTTATAATCCAGGTACTGGATGCAGCCGTGCGCCAGGCGCGGCATAGTGAACAGACCAGCCAATTGATAGATGTCCGTGATGAGAATGATGATATTCTTGCTGTATGAGTCCTTCAGGTCAATGCGATCCGTATAGATATAGTTAAGTATTATCTCAAATGCCTCGGGTGAGGCATGCGCCAGTCGCACCTCCAGCATCGGCACGCGATCCCCGCCGACGCCCGTATTCAAAGCCAGCGTATCCACTTGCCCAACACCATAGAGCTTCTCCATCTGTTGTTGACGCGCCTCGCGCGCTGACAATATCTTGTTACGCAAATATTTAGAGCGTGCCGCTACGAAGGCAATGTGCGAAAGAATGCGTATCTCTTCGGCGCCCACCACAAACTGAATATCACAGAATTGCTTCTCGTGATAGAATTTGCCAAAGTCGTCACGTAGTGTGCACTTTGGATAGCTGGAGAACTGAAACCGATACGTATCTCCGCGCCGTACGCTATTGTCGACGGTGCCGCCAAATATGTACATCGCATCGCCAATGACGGCGGATGCATGGAATACGCGACCCGACGGCATATCCGAGTTCTGCTCCGCCTGAATGACGGACCACACCTGTGAGTCAAGATCATAACAGTGTAAATCATTTGGCAGCGTCGAGTCAGCTGAACCTCCAAAAATATACAGGAAGCGATCGTGATGGACCATGGTGTGGCCATAGCGACGCGACGGTGGTGCCGATGTAGCGCCACGCAGCACCGGCTCATTGGAAATGCGACGCCATGTGCGCGTCTTAAAGTGAAACTCAAACAGCGAATTTGTTATCTGGAGACCACTCTGGCCGGAGAACACATACATGGCATCGCGTGCAACGGCAACGGGGAAATTACAACAGGTGGGCGGACGATCGCCCTGCTGTTCTACCTCCTCCCATTGATGATTCTCGCCCGTTAAATTCAGCGTCCACATATCGTTAAGCCGAGCATTGCCATCATATCCGGCGTAAATCCACATCTTGTTGTCGTAAACCGCTGCGCCATGCGCCGAACGCGGCACTGGTTGCCTGCATAAGGAGTGAGCATTGTTGTTGTTGCTGTTGGTGCTTAGTTAATGGCTTCCTTTGCTATGCTTACCTGCCCGAGAATTTCCACTCCACCCACATGGCGCTAAGAAACTTGTACTCAAACAAATCATTCTTGTTGGTCAGATTGGAGTTGGAGTGAATGTCGCCCGTATAGCCGCCAAATATAAACATCGAGCTGCCCGCAACAACAGCGGAATGATGATAGCGCGGCGCCGGTGGCGTTCCAGTTGCACATGCCCGTCCCCATGACTTGTCCTTGACACCAAAGCGTATCAGGTCGTTGAGCATGTTCTTGCCATTATCGCCGCCAAACACGAACATGGCATCCTTGTAGGCAACCACCGTATGCTTACTGCGTCTGTACGATTGCAATTAAAAATGGAAGAAAGCATAAAAGATTGATTTGTGCTGGGAAAAACATATCAAGCCAATAAATAATTAAATACAAATCCCCCAAGTACAAAAAAAAGTTCCATTGCCTGCGTCTTATATTTATTGATGTTCGTAGATCTTTCCAAATACATATTTATGAAACAAATATGCTATACACTGTCGGATGTTATGTGTGTCTCACGGAAGAACTCGAAAGCTACATGATCACCAGATGGATATATTCATTCAACATTGAAGGACTAATTTGGCCAAAAATAAAATGTCATCCGGAAGATTTGTATGTATATCGACTCGGCCACTGATGCTAATAGTATTATTTTTCAAGTCAGATAAATGTACTAGGCAAAATCTATCCTAAAGCACTGGCTATGCTGTGAATGTATGTATATTGCTAATTGGTAGTTAAGGACAACCATTTTGAGATTTTTTTCAATTAGATAATACAGATGGGTTAACTTGATCAATGATCACTAACACTTGACTAGAAGTGGATTTGCACATACTTGGCGCCAACAAACTCAGCACATTCGAGCATGCGCGTCCACTGATGTGTTGCCGTATAGGAATTGAAGTCGACGTTGAGGGCATTGCAGCTGTAGCTGTAGCTGCCCGGTGAGTTGTCCTTGCAATTGAAGTTGCTGCTGTTACAGCTGCCGTTACCATTGCTATTGGCATCATAGGCAGTAATTCCGCTGGATGCCATCACAGCCGAGGCAGTGCTGCAGCTGCTGTTGCTGCCGCCGCGTGTGCTGCGCGTTGAGCTCGATGTGGACATGCTCAGATTGTTGCGTATATGCTGCACGTCAACGCAGCCAGCTGTCGATGCACTTTTGCGTCCCTTTGCCCTCTTGCCCGACTTCGAATCTCGCTGAAGGAATGCGTCTGTCTGCTGCTGCTGCGGCTGCAACTGCTGCTGCTGCGGCTGCGACTGCTGCTGCTGCGGCTGCGACTGCTGCTGCTGCGGCTGCGACTGCTGCTGCTGTTGCTGTGAGCTGCTGGCTACGCATGCAGGGCAATAAACGGTTGCTGGTGTACTGCTCCCACTGCCACTCGCACTTGCACTTGCACTTCCGCTTCCACTCAGTCTGCCACTGCCACTGCCACACACAGCACTTAGGCCACTGTATATCGAGCTGGAGCCCAAGCCGCAACTGGCTCGGCTAAATGCTGCAGCACCGTTGGTGCTTCGACCGCTGCCACTGCCACTCCCGCCGCACACGCCTCCAGTTGGTATATCTTCCGCAGAACCATTCGTGTCCCCACCGAGTATGGACTTTAGCATTAAAGCATTACAGGTGTAGAATCTCCTTCGTTGGCTTATCTTGATCAAATATAAGTTGCAGGGCTGTGTGCCTTGCTTAACTATTTCGCTGTTTGCTGTTTTCGAGTCTCTTTTCACTACCTCTGCAGGTCAAGAACTAGCGGTGGCATCTAGCAAAACATTTGCAGTTGAATCGATATTTTTGCTGGCAACAATAACAATATATCGGCAAGCCAAGTTTCAGAAGCCTTGCCACATCTGTAGTTTTGTGTTATTTTGAAAATTAAATATCAATAAATTGTTTGCATAATGTAAATATTTAATTAATCTAATAAAAATATATAATTAATACAAACGAAGGGTATTAAGCTGAAAGTATTTGTTTATGTAGAAAGTACAAAAGGTGAACGAATTTTCCACATGTAAATATGTAAATTTATATTTATTTATAAGATTTTAGCAGTGCTTATACATATGTATATCAAATATTTTGTTTTGGTTAATTTTTAAGAATTGCAGATACGCAGCAAAACAAGTCGATGTATGGAAAGGCAATTCGATTTAGTTGAAATTAGTTGAATAGTTGAAATTTACTTCATCACAGCAACTAATTTGTAATCGAACTATCGATGAATTGCTTTGTGATTGCGATAAATATAAGCAACCATGCTTGGTAGATGAAACGCGGCAAAAGGTTACAAACAAAACATTAATAAGAAAACAAAAGAAAATTAAGCAAAATTAGAAACTAAAACTTTTAGTAAAATTATAGTCCTGAAGTAGCTTTGCCCTAACAAGAAATGGCAAGCAGCTCACGAATCACAATATTGCCGCAGTCGAAGGAGGCGCTGCTGAAATCCTACAATGCGCGCCTCAAAGACGATGTGCGCAGCATGCTGGAGAACTTTGAAGGTAACAAAACAAAAAAAGAAATTTATAAATAAAGTGGGCTTAGAAAAATGCGTTAAGGCTACGCTCGGCACTGGCACGCTGACGACGCTTTCGTATCAAGCGATAGAGCAGTTCCATGCCCTCATGGAGGCCTTTGTGGAAGGTGGCGCTGATGCCGTGAACCTTCCAGCGCTGGTGGAGCTCATGCAAACGCAGTCGTATGGCCAGATCGACCAATGTGACGGCATGCGGCAGATCCTGCTTGTTGGCGAGTACTAGTAAAACGCTGTCCTTTAGCTCCTTCACACACATCACCGAGTGCAGCTCGATCATGGCCTCGTGGAAGCGTTCCTCATCGGATGCATCAACTACAAATATTACGGCAGCGGCATTATTGTAATAATAGCGCCACAAGGAGCGCAGACGATTCTGGCCACCAACGTCCCAGACGGTCATACGCAAGCGTTTATACTCCATCATTTCAACATTGAATCCAACTGTTGGTATGTTGGTTAAAGCAGTGTTCAACTTAAGCTGGTAGAGTGCTGTAGTCTTGCCGGCTCCATCCAATCCAATCATCAGCACGCGGACTTTCTCCCTGGCAGCGAACCGATCGAACAAGTATGAAAATGATGTGCCCATCTTGATGCACGCAATTATTGTACACATATAAATGAGAAATGACCAATATCCACAGGCTTTCAGACTCAAACTGTGGCAGACCACAATGCATTTCAGCCATATTCAAGCAAAGCCTCTCTTTAATCCTAAAGCCATTTGTTTATGAAACTTAATCGATTTACTTATGCATTTGTTTATAGAGATACTGAAGCTAGCGCGGCGCGAGAGTCATAGTCAAATTTCGAAGATAACACAGTGCGAGCAGGATGCCCTTGAAATGCAAGTGCGATCGGCAAATATGGGTAAGCATGCATGAAACATTCATCTATGTATCTATATATAAATACAAGTACGCATTAGGAATGACTTAAAAATATCACAGACAGAAGGTATTCTATACACATATTCTTTAGCTGAGATTTGTCCGTTTAATTGCCTGTCTTCTTTCTATGGAATATAGTCTCTCAATTTTAATGAAACTTACTGGATTGGATAAAAACACTTAATGTAATAAACTGCATCGAACCATCGTTTAAATCTGAGTGTCTTGTATGAATAAATATTTGGTTCTTCAAGGTGTTGTGGATAAATCATCAGTTACAATGGTTACTCTACGCCCAATTGTCATTGGCTAAAAACCCGAAAATGATGTGTGACAAAAAATATTTATTTTAAATGTCTGGAAGGGTATATAATCATCATCGCTACTAATAAAAGTCTTTATACTCTGTAAGCCATAGTATGACACGAGCCTTGTCAATTATTTTTTTATATCGCGAACTCATTAAAAATGGGTAAAAAGGGATAATAAAATTGTGCAAAAGTATATAACAAGTAGAAGGACGCATTTCCGACACTATGAAGTATTTATATTATTGATCAACATCAACAGATGATCTAGCCATGTCCGTATGCATAAAGCTAGTGACCTCAAATTTTGAATGCAAATTCTCTCAGATGAAGTTTATTTTACTTGATCGATAACTTTCCCCGTTTTGCGAATATCGATTCAAAACCATTTCCAATGACAATAAGCCGACCCAATTGCATCTCGCCGCATTTTTAAAATACACATAAACAAATAATCTGTTCGGGCTTGCGAATGAAGAGATGCGCGGCCTGTGAATATTATATTTAACAGCTGTGTTCAGGTATCGCGTAGTCGAGCTCTCTCGACAACAGTTCTCTTACATGTTTATTTTCTTTACTGAGCTATTGCTTATTTAAAATTGTTGTATGTAAACTTTTTATGAAGCGTATTACGTGGCCGTAATACATTTTATTGTATATCGTTGTGAGAGAAATTTTAGTCAAAATAAATAATTACCACTCAGCACAATACGAAAACGGATTATTAAATTTAATTTTTCAGTAATTTGAATTTGTGTATTGATTACAATAAATGTTATTAATGTTTATTTAATGCAACAATAATAACATATTGTTAATGTCTTTCAGTGCGAGCTGGTGAATCGTTGATGAAGCTGGTGGCAGATCTCAAGCAATACCTTATACTCAATGACTTTCACTCTGTGAATGAGGCAATCACAAATAACTCACAGCTATTTCGGGCCACACAAATTGAGTGTGATAAAAAGTTGATGAAGCTGCGCGATGAGATGGCCATGGATCTGTACGATCTGGAGGAGGAATACTACACGAGCATATTTAAATAGCTGTATATGATATAGAATAGTTAGCTAGATACATGTATATGTGTGCTTATATGTAGAAAAAATGCATTCGTTTCATGAGAATAATATAACATCTATTTAGGAAAAACACTGCTGGTGCTAGGGATTGGATCCACTGGATCCTTTTGATTGTTTTGATCACCATGCGATACAGAGGACAACGATGCCGATGTATTCTCCGCTGTGTACAGATCATCATTAACGTTATCCACAATGTCGCCAGTGTAGAAGAGTATGGCCTTGGGTACGATTTGAGTGCGCAGTAAATAGCCCACCTCAAAGTCGGCACCAAGCACCATTTTTGTCTTCTCATCTGCCAGTGAGAGGTCCATTGCCTGCGGCGGTGAGAAGAATCGAAAGAATGACTCACGTGGCATTACCTTTGGCATGTTGCGCACTCCCTTCCGCAGACGCTTCTGCTTAATTGTCTGCAAAGTAAGATTGGAGCCATCGCGCCAGTGTATGTGACAGCCCTCGCAGCGCACAATCTCCGGACCCTCGAACATAAACGGATATTCCTTGTCCGCCTCGTGGCGTAAAATGTATTTCTTGGTCAGCAGGAGCGACGATGTGTGCAGATACTTGTTGGGCCGAAACTGAAAGTGTACGGTATAGCTGTCCGACTCATATCTGATGCGCACATCCATTAAACACTCCAGCAACGGTTCGTCATGCTCTTGCACCAGATCCGAGATGAGCGCCACATTACGAAATACCGTTAACCAGAAACGTGGCACACCTTCCGCATTGGCGGGCAAATGCTGTAGCTGTTCGGTCAATTGCTTAAACTCCTCAGTCGACTTAATCTCCTCGAGCAGCTCATCGGCCTCCTCATGCCAGTAGCGCTCCATTGCCGGCGGCTCCACATCACCAGCAACAATGTCCCGACGAGCATCGAACAGCGTACAGCTCTGCCCATAGAAACGTTTCTCCAACTCATAGACTTCACGAAAGAACTGCTCCGATATCTTAATCTGCTGCAATTGATTGTGCTTTAATGCCAGCACCCGATTATACACCGTCTTCGGCAAACTATCCACCATATGCTGCAGAAAGGCCCGGCGACTATTTGACGGCATCTCCGACGGGTTCAATTGCGTGCTGTCGGAGATTTTCCCGGGACTTCGACTACGACTCCTACTACGATTACGACTGTGAGCTTGTAAATTTGGCGTCTTTATCTCCTCCTTAACAGTGACAATGGTTGCATTTGAGCCCACATCCGAACTGGAGCCAATGTTCAACATCTTAAAACCTGTTAATTTTGACGCTGAATTTGAAACTTGAAAACTTTAACAATTTTTTATATCTTCCTTTTTTCTTTTCGTTTTTTATTTATTATGAAAGCAAAATGAAACTTGTTTTATGTACAACTGTAAAATAACACCTAAACTTTCAAATTTGAAGATAGACAACGTCAATAGCAACGAAGACCGAAAAATGTTCCTAGGTACGCCGAAGATTGCATATCCTTGTAGACCGTAGGCAAATTGCCGTCATCTAAATTTTATTATAAATTATTGAAATAAATATAGAGGTTCGACGCTGATAATTTTATTATTAATTTAAGAGCATAATAAAATGCATATTGATTAAGTTCAGTTCGGATATTATGTTCAACTAAAAAGGTTTTCATACAAGAACTCATCTTTTGAGCGATTGTTCCTATACGCAATATAAAGCATACTGGGTACATTTTGTTGGGCTATCTTGTAAAAAAAAAGTTTTTTAAACTAGAAATCATCTTTCGACCGATGATATATTAGTCAAATTCGGACAGCTCCGACAATGCCAAGTTTATTCAAATTTTAGTGTCAGTTTGCATAGAAGATTAAGAATTCATTCGGCAACGTCTCCTTCAATGCGCTGCAAACTACATGACAATATTATAATTATAATAGCTTCCAAAAGAGTATACAAATATTTTATTTATTACGTTTATTTTATTACGTTTATACTTTGTTCGTTTTATTGTCATATTTATTGATAAAAATCGAAATTTCGGATTCGTCTATATAGAATTACACTCTGCGAAATTCGATTAAAGTCACTTGAATTTTTTTAATATAATATGTAGAAATGACATGAAAATAATAAATTAATAATGTGCCCATCCTCCAGATTTGTTGATAACTAAAAAAAATTCGGTTTGACATTGATTCAGCATTTTTTTAGAACTCAGATAGTGGGATTTTGGACCATTCCTTAACTAAACTGCTCAACTGTCTCAAACTGTCGATTACCCACATAAACTCGACGGAACAGGTGTCCCCATATGTTCTATATGGGATTCAAGTCGGTTGATTTTGCTGGCCACTCTGAAAGCTAAAAATCTAAAATCCTTATCCCGAAGCCACCCCCGACAGGCTCGCTATCTGCTTATTTATCGTTGATATGAACATTAGTCGTTATGAACATTTGTCACAAGTCAGTGACGCTACATCCATCTACATATGTATGTGTGTAACATAGTAAATATTTCACTTCTGGTTGGCTTTCCCAGGCAAAATACTCTTTGCCAGCTTTGGTACTTGCGGTTCGCGTTATCGCATTCCCAGCCAGCTGCACAAGATTGCTACTAATCCTAGGACTTAGATTCATAGCCATGCGATAAGACATTCGTTGTCTTTAGCTGTATAAATCAAGTAAAATAAAATACGTAACGACCTTGGTTTTTTTTTTATTTATTGATAGCAAATCCAATATGATTTTCTAATCTTATCCCGTATTGCCTGGCATGCCCCCCAGACACCCCGTGGCCACTCAAGTGGAGGGCGACATATTTTATTTATAAATATTTAGATAACTTTTTGAATGGTCCACAAATAAAACTATATCAATTCTACAATTTATATGCAAGATAACAATAATTAAATAGAAAATGCTTGCTTTCCTGCTGTATGATTTGGTAAATACAAATATATCGTAAATTCCTTCGTTTTTTCTTAACTCATCTTAATGAAATTGTTACAGTTGGTCACAATTATCACCACTTATAGGTTTTGACTCAAATGTTTAACCAGACGTCAAACTGTATTTGAATGGACAATAATTAAGTCAAAATTGTATGCCACTCTGTTTCGTCACTTATAAACTACACTTTTCGCATAGTTGATTTAGGAAATTGGCATTTATTCTACAAACATATATTATCTACTTTATTTATTTATTTACGTTTATTTATTTATTTTTTTAATTTATTTTTTGCGTTATTGAAAAAAGACGTATCTCTCTAGAAAACACTTGAATCGGCATGAAAATGTCGCGACAATATTCCAATAACCGCATGAATATGTCGGGAGACCATTGAAAATTATAAGTTCTTTTAGGAAAATTTTTAGTTACGCTGAATGTACTGTGCGATGTTTTATCGTATGGGAACCAAAAGACTTAAAATGAAGCTTAATGGAATCGGTTTTTGATATTGCTGAAGAATTTATAAACTATAGTCGGAAATGCTCCTTACTGCCACTGAAGTAACAATATTTTTCTCGATAATGGGATCTGGGCCAAGAGAATAAATCGAATGTTCTATTTATTGCTCTGTGGGCTCGTGTTGTAAATAGCTTCTATATTTTTTTTATATATAATTCGCTATCTGCTTTTATTTAATTTACTATTATAAAATAAACAAAAAAATATTTATCACATGGGTAATCAAATGATAAAGTTAGTATGTACTATATACATACATGTATGTACATAGTAAAGTATGACTTAGAATATAAAATCTTCATCGCTGATATTCTCCATGTTGCTTAGACTACGCTCGTAGCGCTTAATGCGCTGATACCACTGCGGATCCTGGTCGGCAATTACCTGGGGCCGACCATTATTGTGCCTATAGAGATATTCGGCATGTCCCTGGCCACTGATGCCATTAACGGTACAGGCCACAAACTGATTGTAGACCTTCGACTCCCAATCGCCGCCCACATACCGCACGGCACTGTGCTCAACGCGTATTTGCACCAGATACGTTTGCTGCGCGGTGTCCACTATGAAGTTCTGATGCTGTGGCGGTGTACCCTTCTCCCCGTACGAGTACAACTCGAAATTGCTGGCCGTAATCGGCTGATAGACGCCGTCGGGTGTGCAAACGTAGCCCACCTTGAGCGAGGATAGAAAGAACGAGGGCTGGCTAAGATTGCCGACAGCCATGCTGCTGCCATCGTCCAGCAGCAATGCAAAATACACATAGCGATTAATGGTGCTCAGCAGCGCTCGGTGCCAAACTGTGATCCCGAAAGCCGCGCAATTTCACGGCAGATGTCGTCCGTCCAGTACAATGCTGCCATCCAGCTGGCCATGTTGCTCGTAATGCGTACGCTTCTCGACAATGTGGCCAACGCACTTGATCATGCTATAGAATCCTTCGTTCCATGCCTCGCGAGCTATCGAGTCGGCAATGAGCGTGGAGCTCAGATCCCGATTGTAATTGAAATGATCCTGGGTGCTGATGAATCTCAGATCCAGCTGCACAGCCAGCAGTTCGGGCTCTGCTGCCGTGGACTCCTTACGTAGCTGCCCATCAAATTTGAGTTGCCAGTGGCGCATGGAGGCCAATGGATAGAGATGAAAGCCGGCACCACGAAATTCGGTGCTCTCATCGCTGCCATCGTTGGTGAAGTGCACCATGTCCGGCAGTTTGGGCAGACTGTACAAGCCGCTAGCGGGAAGATATAGATATAGAGCTGCTTTCAGCACACCCCTCCTACGACGCTCCAGCGTGACCATCAGCTTCTGGCCAGCAGCATTCGCGGCCATTAAGCTAATCACATCATAACTTTTCGGATCATTGGTCAACGGCTGGGGCCGATCCAACGTGGCCAGATGAGTTGCTGAGCTGAGCAAATCCTCGTTACGCTTGTAGATGCGGTAGCGCAGCTGGCGCAGCACACCCAGTGCAATCACATATTTCAGCTTGTAGAAGATACCCTTGCACGGATATTTGCCAAAGATCAGCGCCGACTTGCGGCTGAGCAGCAGCAGCGCCAGGCTAAGCAGAGCAAGCACACAGCTCAGACCAATAGAGATTGTCGTTAGAATGAACATGTTCCTAGCACTTGATGGCCATTAACGTGACTGAGCGATTTCCAGCACTGCGTTGGCAAAAAATTCTAAGCGATTTCAAAAGCAGCTGCGATAAACAGCTCATGTTCCCCCAATCCACCAACCAACCAACCCCCCCCCCCCAACATTCTCTCTCTCACTCTCACACGTACACACACATACCTATCGCATCGCACACACACACAAGCCACTGGATCGGGGGCACTCGAGGACAACGTTAACTTATCTACATGGAGTCTTATCAGTCCCCTTACTAATATACATCAAGTATTGTCCATCGATTGCTCCCTGCATTAATGTTTGCAGTGTCATAAATCAGTTTGGAATGTTTTTCATTTCTGATTATTTCTTCTTGTATATGTCATAAAACCAAATAAGTCTATCAATATGAACTGGAACGTTTCCAGACAATAAGCATTTGCAATATTCCCCAAATAGGCTCAAGTATTATATGCCACATCCGCCCTTGGCAATTTCCGTTACTAATTACAATTTGGTAATTAATTGCAATGAGCACCGAAGATATTGAAAAATAACAATAATACTGGCTGCATATTGAGTGCATCAAAATTATACGATCATCCCCTAGCTGAATTTTCGATATTGCAAAACCTTACGAAGCAAATTATCCCAAATGCCAAATTTAGGAACACAAATCTGAAATATGTAGCTTTGACCATTCAACTTTTTAATTTTATTCTTTTTTTTCATAAAAAACATTAGACATCTGGTAACTGCTCTTAATTAGTTTGTTATATTATTTTAGATGAAAGTCCTAACCATAAAGTTGTCATAAATAAATGAACAAAGTTACAATTCTCTATGCAATAAAATTAATTCTGGCACCTGGCATATCTTAAGCGAGTATTTTCAAGTTGTTCGTGCATATAAATATCCTCTCATTAATTTCGGTTTAACTTATAAAAGTTTTTAACTAATTGTAATTTTGTCATGATCCTTGTAACGCATTGCAGGAGAGATATATACTCCCGATTTGCATCACTAGCCGAATAGATAGAGTCATGTTCCCCTCTCCTTCTATTTGTGTATGTGAGCATAACGCCATCAGTTTTAAAGAAACAGACCACTGTATCATTTAGCATCTACGTGCTAAAGAAATAATCGCTCCAAAGATTTTATGTCTCATACGAAAAACCCTTTTTTTCAAGATATCCAGACCGATCTCAAAAATATGCGTCACAAGTGGCCCAAAAATCATCATCATTATATCATTTATTAGTTCCATAGCTCAAGATACCCAATCCAATCACGTTGCGTTGTGTTTTTTAATTTTTCTAATTCAAACATTTGATTTTCAATAGAAAAACATGCATATATAATGATAACATCAAATTGTAGGTCTTGATTGGCTCTTACTAACGATTGAAGGGATCATTTTGTAGATCTTCAATGGTTCCAATGAGCCTTAACGAGCAATGACAAAAAAAATATATAACCTAATCACACCAGCCGAGGGTGACATCGTTGCTAGAATTCTGCAAGCCGATGACTATGTCGTACACGTGCAGGGCTTTGCCAAGCTTCAGACCGAAGAGATCAATGATGTCGGCACGTGACAGTACCATTAATGCAGCGCCATCAATTTCCTGTTGCATGAAGATATCTGCGTGCTGTGGACAATGCTTCTCAACAAAGTCATAAACTTCTTTGACGCTCCACGTGAAGACGCCCTTCTCTTTGGCGCTCATGGCCGTACCTGTTGCAATCACCTGCCTATTCCCACCATTCTCTTTGTCCTCAGTTGAGCTTAGCGAAGCAGGAGCAGGAGCAGAAGCAGGAGTAGCAGCAGAAGCCTCTGGTGCATGTAGAGCAGGAACTGGCCCAATGTTTAACTCTGGTGATAGGGCGCAATCATCGCTGGCTTTGTTTTTTTCGTTCTTAATCGCATTCATTGGCCGCTTCTCACTCGTTGGCAACCTATTCTTCTTGATTGTCGCTGCGCTCTCTGAGACGTTGGATACAATTTTGGTTGACTTGGTGGCAGGAATGTAATCCCCGTCTTCCTCGTCGTTGTCGTCGTCGTCGCCACTCTCAGTCAGCACTCGCTTGTCATTTGGCAACGGTTTGTTGACAATGCCAGTTGCAGCTAGATCGGAAATGACCCGCTTCTTGCGACCAGCTTTGGATTTACGAGGCGCCAGCTGTGTCTCAAGTTTGGCAGCAGTGTCCTCCGATTCTCTCGGATTATAGGTGTGATCACAGCTATTACATTTCCATTGCATATCATCCATCTTGGCCGGCATTACTCGCGGCCAATGGCAATCCAAGTGATATACATTTACGCAGGCACAGCACATAACCAGCTGCTCCTCAGTTGCACTCTTCGTATTGCAAACGCGACAGCGTCGACATGCATCACACTTGTATCTCTTGCGTGCATTCGTCAGAATTCCAAACTTCATTGGCAAACATTCAAAGTGCCCTGTAAATCATAATCAGCACTAAATTAAAAATGAATCGGATGTATATTAGTTAAAAGCCAGCCAGCTTACATTTCAGAGCGCACGTCTTGCAGGCAAGAAAGTTGCTTCGATAGCCAGAGCCACGCCTTGGCTCGCACTTGCCGCACGTCATGCATGTGTCAATGTAGCGCCGCTGATCCAAGCTTGGCACTGGCACATCATCATCAATCGGTTCCTCTTGAATGATTGCATTTGACTTTTCTGGTTGTGCATCCTGCGGTGGCTGCGGCGATTGCTGCTTCTGCTGCTGGCTGCCGCTACCATTTTGTGATGGTGACGCAGGCTGTGGCTGCGTTTGTGACGCCGTTGGTGCCGTTAAAGAGCTGCGAGGTCCGCGCGATATGTAATTGTCGGACGGATCGTAAACTTGTTTCGGTTTCTGTCAGAAACCAAACGTCAAAGCAGTGTGTCCACACTCAGTACAGCATTAGCAACACTTACCTTGACACGACCCGTGGTGCGCACAATGCCCGCCGTTGTGGTGCCGCCGTTGTTGACATTGTTTGCATCGTTGCTGTTCCTGTTCGTGTTGCTGGTGCTGCTGATGCTCAGTGCAGTGGTATTCTTCGTTTTGATATTGTTGTTGTTGCTGTTCGCAACATCAGCATGGTTCGCAGCAGCATCATCCTTATCGTCATCCTTCAGGCGCTTCATATCGGGCTGCTTAAATGGTTTTACTGACATTAAACTAAACCAAAATATCTACTGCAATGCGCGCTCGTCGATTGCTTAGCGTACAATCCGATAAGCTATCGATACCAGCATACTCGCCTGCTATTTGTAGTTAGGCGTTAGAGCTGGAGAAAAGTCGAGTTCATAAATACGTATATTTTGTTGCATTTGCAGACATATCGATACTCAATTATCGTATGCCACAACCAAAAGTGAGATTTAAAGGGCCACATTGCTGAAAAGCGGGAACAAGTTGGCAGGGTCACCAACATGGGAGGACATTCTCCGCAAGGTGGCGCGTTGAAGGCTAGGGACAAGAACACATGTGGAAAAGAAAAAAAACGCAGTGAGGCAGGTCGTGGTCCATAGCGCTTAAATTTGTGTGCCGTACGGATCGAATGTTGAAGTACATTTAGGAGTGCCTTGACCCTCCATATTCGATAGACCTTGTGAAGCCAAATTCGGCGTAAGTGTGTCTGTTTGAATAAATGTTGTGCTGTGCTAATTTTGTGGTTTATGTTTAGGTGGCCGACGGCAGGTTACGCCGCAATTGTGCAATTTATGTCATATGCTCCGAAGTTGATGCAACAACGACCTGGCCGTCGCGCAAAGATTGCTGGATACGCCCTCGAAGCTACTGCGAGGAAACACTGGGCGAATACACAATCCCCTGATATTGGCAGCGCGCAAGCGCACCGACGGTATTTCTTCAGCCGGTGAGTGCGTTCCGATATGGAATAAGTGCCATCGGAATAAGCCTTCAGTAACCAGCCGCGTAGCTCGAGCGCAGTACACTCAATCGACCCAGAATCCAAATTAAACTACAAATTGTAAAAAGAAAAAAAAACGGCAAAAAGAAACACATGTCAAAAAAAGTGCGAGTCGACTGCGCGCATGTGAGCAGTGCTCCAGCACGCCCACCCCTCCTCCAGTATATTTATGTAAATGTTGAATGCTAGGTTAAGCTAATTTGTTGAATGTTATGTTAAGCTACTCGTTATTTATGTTAATGTATTTATTTATTCAATCCGGCGTCCGGATTTTTGCCAAATTGCGGAATCCATTTTTTTTTTTGCACGAGCCCCGCCATACACCGAATACTTATATTGGAGCTCTAATAGGGTAGGATAGGGATTGAGGGCCACCTAAAGTAATGGTCATATTTGTTCAATTTTTTTTATTTTGGTTTTATCGGATTTGGTAAGATTCCCGATTTAAATTCAAAATTGAATAGCCGTTGCAGAATACAACGCTACCTAGCGGCGTATTTAGTAACTACTATATTATACCACGTAATGTTTGTTAATAAATTGTAAGGAAATAACGATGATCTGTGAGTAAGTTAAATACAGAGGAGAATCACCGGGAGCATGGAATAAATTAGTCGTCAACTACAACTTAAGGGCGATGGGCAAATCGAATCCGTGCAGGCCCATTGCAGGAAGGGCGGGTACGTCGTGGCCATAAACACCAGGCCCGTCAGCTGTTTCGTTTGTTTTGTGTGTGCATGTAGGTCTTTATGTAGTGCTGTGTAGGTCGAGTTTTTTTTTGAGTCTGTACCGTCCACGGGCAGGGTTGGAGTTACCCACCTCTAGGAATACTGAGCTAGCCGAGGTTGCCCAAACACCAAAGCCTTAATATATGTTTGTTTACTTTGTGGAAGCAGTTGGCAGCACCAAATTCCTTCGCTATAGGTGGCAGCACCTGAGCTTTTAATTCAAATTCTGGTTAAAACACTAACAAATATTGGGAATATAAAAGCAATACTATGAAGTTATTAAGTTAACGAAATGATAAAACTTGGCGGATATATTGTTACAAAATACGACGGAGCCAACCGGAACAGACCACTGTATCATGTAGCTGCTAAAGAAATAATCGCTTCAAAGATTTGATTTATCATACAAAAAACCCTTTTCTTTTACCAAGATATCCAGACCGAACTCACAAAATATGCGTCACAAGTGGGCCAAAAATCATCATCACTATATCATTTATTAGTTCCATAGCTCAAGATACCCAATCTAATCACGTTGCGTTGTGTTTTTTGATTTATTTTATTATTATTGATTGGCAATGATTCCATTTTATTGTATATATAATTATTGTATATTATAAGTAACGCCGACTACATCAATGACAAATGGATATCAAACAACAAAGCCTTAATAATATATGTATATAGCCCATTTAGTTATATTGCATACTCTCTCATTTAGTTATATTGCATACTCTCTCATTTAGTTATATTGCATACTCTCTCAGCCATACGATTATTTTGGATTACTTTGTTATTCGTTGTCTTTTTATGCGTATTTAACAAATTTATAGCGAAAAGCATTAAAAATAAAGCAAGTCAATAATTACAAATGTACAATAACTTAACTAACAATTAATTTATTTTCAACTAGATATATATAGACTGTATGTTCAACTTGATGTGCGATTTAGGGGCACACAGAGCGTAGATACTGCCCTCCAGAGTTGGAAAACAAACACAAAGTTTTCAGCTTCAATCGATTTTGAAGCGACGTCCATACTTCCAGACCAAATACATCAGATCTCGATGAGCCAGAGCCCAGGCAAACAAACATAGAATGCCAGTGGCCAGACCAACGCCAATATGCGTCCCAAACACCGCATTTCGATACTAAAGAAACGAACAGAAATTCCATTAATCAATGATAGGAACTAATACGAATCCACTTACCCAGTAGCAGATCAGGCCGGCAATTAGTATGGTGCCACCAAATAGCTTGCCGGGCCAAAGTCCTTGGAGTGGATTCAGCCCGAGCGGCTGATACTGGCGGTGGATGTACCAAGTGCTATACAAAATGCGACCCATCATATTAATGCAGTTGGCAAAGATGAAGCCGACGGGTCCAAAAGTGCCCGTCAGAATGTACGACAAGACAAGGAAACTTATTGAGAATATGGCCATCAGGTAGTTGTACTTGTCAATGTCGCGGCTGGTGTTCGTCGCAAACATGTAGCCTTCGCTGATACCATTCACGGATAGCAGATAGATGGCCAGGCAGTGCCACTGCAGCAAAAGCTGCGGCAGACCGCCGGCAACGAAATCCTCGCCGCCATACAACAGCAGCAGAGTGTGTGAATAGCTCTGGCCAAAGGTGAACGCCAGCAGGCCAATGGAGCTGACGCCCAGCAGCAGATTGTTAAGCACGCTACTGGCCTGACGCACCCGCTCCGGCAGTTGCTTGGTCAGGCGTGTATCGCGTGCAATGGTCTGCGTGAAGTAGAAATAGGCGCTGTCCTCGATCGGCCGGAATATGAATCGTGCCGCCATGCTTCCCAAATTGTTGACTACGTCATAGGTGGCTTGCTCGCCAAAGCTGAGCACCGGCGACACAGACATCACATATTTCTCTCCCTCCGTGAGTATCTGCTTCAGCACTCCTTGCTTAACGAAGCTCAATGTCAGCGTTTGCAGCTCTTTGTTGAAATACGCGCCATCGCTGGAGCAGCTCAAAACACCCGGCAGCAATTCCGATAGCTTTGTAATCGGAAAATCATCCATGTGCGCGAACATAGAGCGCTCCCAAGAGCTCGCTTCCGGTATTGCCTTAGTCTTGCTCACTGGCTGCTGCTGGCGCAGTTTGTAGCGATTAAAGCGCTTAATGTAGTAGAGAAAGAACCCGTATTGACCCAAAACAATGGTTACAGCGCTGGCCAGTTGAGCGAAGGCAAAGGCGTTAATAGCCACACTGCGATCGCCAATGACTATCCACAGAAAGATGGCCGACCTCACAAGAATGTGTAGCGTGTTAAGCATAATTTTGAGCTTGACAAAGCAAAAGACTTGCGCTACGAATACCGCCGACTCGGCCACTAGCTCCAGGACACAGGACAGCGCCACCGCATAGCAGGCAAACTCATATTGTGCGCTATATGGTGCATCCACAGCTGATAGCCAGTGAAGCCAGATGTACAAACACGGAGCGCACAGAGCGGCGCAAATGGGCACCCTGAATGAAAGAGAGTGAGAAGAAATAGATAGAAGATAGATGCAAAGGATATACAATCGGCCCGTGTGTCTGTCGGCTGACTTACGTAAGCCACATCTGATTGATCAACTGCGCCCAAGAGCACTTGTCGCGCTGCTGCGAATTGGCGCTCAGCGCTGCCCGGTTGATTGCCTCGCGCGACAAGAAGAGCAGCGTGCTCTCGAGCAGCAGCAGGCGAACATTCATAATGCCAAGCACTTCGCGACCTACATTGCGGACAATGTACGCATTGATGCCGAATGTTAGGATGCGGCACAATATCTGCAAGATAACGAATAAATGACAAATGTGCAAGTGACAAATCGAAAACGTCTACAATTCTGACTCATACAGTTTGTGTGCTCGCCAGGGCTTCTGGCCTTACCTGAAAGATGATACTGAAACCAGCGCCCAACAGGCTGCTCTCTAGCACATTGCGCGCCATCGCAAGGTTTTTTTTTACTTTGTGGACATCAACTGCTAAATCATAGCGTAGATGAACATAGCAAATCAAATCAAGTGCCAACAAAATGACAACAACAAAAATCCATCCAGGTGCTCGGAAGTCGATAGCATAATATCCCAAAATATAATCGATAAATAAGCAGCTGATTTGATAATCAGATGTAGCAATTGGCAGCACCAAATTCCTTCGCTATAGGTGGCAGCACCCGCGCTTTAAATTCAAATTCAGGTTAAAGCATTAACAAATATTAGGAATATAAAAGCAATACTTGTTTTACCCACTATGAAGTTAGTAATATATTTTGTTAAGTTAACGATATGTTGGAATACATAAACTAACCAAAAAACTTATTTAAAAACATACACTATAGCGGTAATTTAGCAAATTGAAATTCAGTTAGTTAAATAACAAATATTATAAAATAAATATAAACATAATAATATATATAAATAATATTGTAATAATGATTAAAGAATAATTTAATATATAATCTGTTCCTTAGCGTCCTTGTCAGCCATCCCGCACAGAAGCCGCCAACACGTGTGACCCGTTTTGAATAATTCGTTTTCACCGCAATGTACCGGTTTAAAAGCATGTCCTTTGCGCTAATCGGCCGCCACTCAATGAAGTTGTCTTGTATTATTTTTCGTCTTAGTTTTGAGTTTTTTTTTTTTTTTTTTTGGCACAACGTTAAACTGGTTGCAACAACTTTCGTTGGGATTGCGTCGCCGAAGAAGTTGCTCACTCTGAAGCCGCTCAAGAGTGTCAGTCAGCTTTTCAACTTGGCCAGAGTCGGTCGCTTGTCGCGCTGTAATCTCTCCACGCCTGAGACGTGATTCGCGGTTAAACGTTGTTTGCTATTGCACTTTGTTTTTGTTTGGTTATTTTTTTTTTTTGTTTTTTTATTATTATTACTATTATTACTTTGTTTTGGAAAGGTGAGCGTGTGTACCGTGCGCTCTCGTTTTTGGGAAAAATACGAGTGAGTGTTCTGCAAGACGGAGCGTGAAGTGCAGCACGCTGTTGTTGTTGTTGCTGCTGATTTTGTTTTGCTGTTGTTGTTTATCATGTGTTTTTGGCATTCATCTGGCAAAAGCATGCGGAAAATCTGATCTGATCTGACGGCTACAAGAAAAGCAATTGCGCTATGCGATAAAAACAAAACACAAAAAAACCACATACATAAAGATATCGCTAGTATCAGTATCAGAGTATCGGTTACAATTCTTGGCTCGTGTGACTCTTTTCAAACTACATAACTGACTGCTGAGTGACCAAACCGTTTGCAAACTGGTTGCACACGCTGTCCTAAAGCACCGCCGCTACTTGTTGCTTTTTCTTTGTTTACCTGCATCAGCGCAGAAAACACGGTCATGTTCATTGCATGCAGTTACTGCTGATGCTGAAGCTGCCTCTCAGTAAAAACAGACGCCGCCAAAAAGACGATCAGCAACCGCTATCAGAAGCACTGCAGAAGAAGAAAACGCTGCTTCAGGATGTCGGACATTTACTACTGCAGTAATAGCCAGGTGAGATGTTCATTAAAAATTAACTGGAGCGCCATTTGAGTATAGTTGTATAAACAGTTTGCATATCAAAAGCTGGTAAAGACCACAAATTCAAATTGAAATGGTTAATTCATCTAATCCAAAATAATTATTTTCGATTTTACGCAGTAATTAGCGATCTTATCTTGAGATCTTAATTGTTTCACAAAACAATGTATATGTGTGATAAAATGCGATTTTCAGAAAATTAAAATACTAATAAATAAGAATCAGTTCTTAGAATTAAAGTGTTGCACATTTAGAGAGATTACTGTAGTTGGAAAGGTAAGGCTGACAGGTGTTGTTCAAATTAATCTTGTTTATTTACTTCGAACGTTATGCTTTTCGTTAGTCAGTGATAATTTGAAATGAGCGAAGTAAAAGACGCTGGAAACTCGGCCATTGTTTTTACAAATTAAATGGTTTGTCGTTTAACAAAATGGGAAAATTTGTTGCGACTCTGATAATTAATGAGACAAAAGTAAAAAAGTAAAAGTGCTACAAAAACAAACAAAAAAACTACTGGTTGTTCGATTATGCAATCGGCCTAGTCCCATTGGGTCTATCGATAACGCGTCGATTATGCTAGCAAAGTAACGGGACTACAAGTCACAATAGTTATGTACAAGTCACAATAATTATGTACGTGCGTATTCAATGAATACAAGCCGCACAAAAATACATACAAGCTGGCCACTGTGAAAATTATGGAAATGTGGCACGCCCCGCAGAAAGCTGATGGGCAGCAATCGGTAGTCGGCAGCATCCACATCCACCAGCCAGTGAAAGTTCGTCCCGTTATAAGCTAATTTGCCTTAGTAACTTACTTTTCTTGGTAACGTTGTCGGTGTGGTTGTTTTGTTGATATTGTGTTTTTTGTTGCGACTGCTGTTTTTGTTATTGTTGTTGCTTTAGGCGCATGCCGCTCAACATTTTGCCGCCTATTTTATGGCTGTGCCGCGCGCTGCTGTTTTATATCAAAAGAAATCAAAAGTTTTGCTGAATGCGTTGCCGAAGTCTTTGTTCGTTTCTTGTTGCTGTTGTTGTTATTTTAATTTGCAACTGTTTTAATAAAAAATGTTTATTTTTCGTTGTTTTGTTTTGTTTTGCTTTGAGTGCCAGCTTAATGTCATGTCTGAATTTGTTTGTGAAATTTAGTTTGGGAGACTTTTGGCTTTTGTTTTTTTTGCTGCCGGCTGTGAGAATTTTTCCAATGCAAAATATGTCGACGTCTACAGCAATAGCAACAACAACAATGCAGTCAAGGTTTTCACCACTGACCAAATTTTATTGTTGTTTCTTTTTTTTTTTTTTTGTTTCCTGGCAGTTATTGTATTTTGTGTGTGCTGTTGCAGGGCTTGCAATATTGTTGTTGTCGCCTATTGAGCAATTTACAATTTGTGATTACCTCCATATATTGCGTATGTATGTGTGTATGTGCACTTGTGTGTGCTTGTAAATATGCATGCTGTATGAGCCTGTGTGTGTGGCAAACAAACATTCCAACAAGTCTAGTCTAGACTGCAAAGTCGACTCGCACGGCCAAAAGTGATTGCGGCGACAACATTAACAACAAAAACAACAAACTCGTTTGGCTTAAAAAAATAAAACGCAACAACTTTCAGTTGTCGGTTGGTCTGCGGCAACTTAAAGCTGCGCTTATCTTGTTTTTTTTTTGCCATAACTGTTGCTGTTTTGGATTTAGTGTGGTTTTTTCTTTGCACAATCACCAAAAGTGGAGCCAGTGGCTAAGCTGACGCCATCGCGTCAATATAGCACCCACTTCAGATTTCGACTTTTCTTTTGTTTATATTTATAAACATTTATACATTTGAAATGCATAATATGCAATTTCAGATATTTTTTTTTTTAAATTTAACCGTCGTCAAGAATTGTAAAAAGATTTGACAATATAAATTTCTTAAAATTATTTTAAAAAAATATATAAAATGTGAAAAACAAGGTTTAAATTTAAATTTAAGAAACTTATGACTATCAATGTTTAATAAGTACAAATTATATTTCTTTCATATATACATTGAATTCCTTTTGCTTTTGTGGAATAAAGCTTTACATATGTGTATATTTTTGGCAATCAATCAATCAGTCGATCACATTGCACAAAGTGTCACAGTCCATTCAAATCAAGTGATTTCAAAAGAGTGAGAGTAAATGCAAGCATTTAAATGCTTTGATATGTATTTATGTATGTATGTGTGTGCGTGTGTGTGTGTGTGAGTTCCATGCTCAAAAGCTTAAATCAACATTTCACACTAGAAAATTATAGCACGATTTGTGGTAGCCGCCATGGCAACTGCGGCGTTTTTTATACTCACATTTTGTAGCCATGTGCTGCAACAGGTTCAACTGCAAATAAGACAACAACAATAGCAGCTACAATAATAAAATGTTGTTGCCATTTGCCAAATGCCACTCTGCAGGCAAAAAATAGCAACTACAAAAGTCGCAACAGCATCTGAGACTAGAAGCAAAAATGGATAATAGTCAGTGTTGTATAGTTATACATGTTTTCTAAGCCATACTCTGGTTTGTTTGATTTTTCTTCTTATTTTCATTTCATTTTTTATTGTGCCTTTCAGTTAAAGCTTACTTACTCATATATATGTGTGTATATAAATCTATGTGTGTTTTGGGTGCAGAAGTTGCGCGTCAGCTTGAGTGACCTTTCATTATGTGCTACCAGCATCAAGATCTGGCCACCCGCTAAACGATCACTAATGGCAACGCCGTACACATACACAAGCACACACGCACACACACAAACACACAGTTGCGTGAACTTTCTCTGCTTATTGGAAGAGAAAGAGAATAGCACAGTAGCCGCGGCTTGAGAGTCTTGAGTCGACGTTTTGTGGGCTTGCATTTTTCTTATACTAAGAATGTCATTGAAATAAATTAGAAGCAAAAGGCAACACGCTTCCAACCAACCAAACAACAACAACAATAATGACTATAGCCTACAATAATACAAAAGCAACAACAATCATATGCAATTCTAAACTCTTAACGTGTCGTCGACAGCGCTTTGGCTATGGCCTCGAGCGCTGCTGCTGCGGCTGCTGCCAAAGAAAGTAGCACAATTCATTGGCAGTGCCTGGTTTGTTTGTTCACCGTCGTCATCATCATCTATCATTATCATCATCATCATCATCATCATCATCGTCATCATCATCATCATTGCTGCTGTCGTCTTGCGGCTGTTAGCTTCAAGCATTTTATGAGCATTTAGAAGCAGCGACGCCGCAGAGCTGCCGACTGACAACTGCGATTTATTGTATTTAAATATGTATGTGTGTGTGTGTATGCACGTGTGGGTGTATTGATAATGTCTTTAATTGAATTTCCTTTCGATTGTGAATATTTCGTATAGTAATCGTGTCTGCCGAGTGCGCCCTTTACTTTCCAATTCAACGTGCTTTGTTACTATTGTGGGCCGCCCTATTGCCAAATCGTTTTGTTTTCTTAGCTTTTTTTACTTTTGGCCGCTGCTACGCCCAGACTTTTACACGCAGCAGCCATGCGTCGTGCAATTTGCCCAGCCTTGAACTGCGGCTGAGCCGACGCGTTGCGTTGGCGTCGCTGACCAATTTATTGCCTTATTCATTGTTGTGATAACATTTTACCTGGTTTGCTTAAATAATTGTTTTTGTTGTTTTGTTTTTTGGCTTTTCCTGCTGCCTACATAAGTATACATATGTATGTACACATGTATTTAGTTGCAAAAACTAATGTAATGTTATTGAACAATGCAGCAATGCGGCTAGCAACGCAATTAAACTGCATGTTGCGGGCTTACTGACAAACTTGATTGCGTTCATATTTGGGGACAACCCTAAAATATATATTTAGGTATGTATGCATCTGTAACAGATGTGCTTGATGATGAATATGTGCTTGCATATGTAAATTCATATAATCAAATGTATCAATTATCGAACCCAACTTCGAGTGTCTCAATCAACCAATTACAAAACATCGATATCGATGCAATTTCAATTGAAACTTGATCTGTGTACGCATTGAGCTGTGCACATTGTGATCGCATTGATTTCATATTGATGTATTCACATCGCGCATCCATGTATGTGTGTATATACTTTCAATGACTGAAGCACAGCAGAACATTTCGCAATTATTCGCAGGTATAATGGAATTTTGGAAAAATGTATATATTTCTGATTTCGATCAAAAATCAACTCGATTTAGCCATGTCCGTCCGTCCGTTAGTCTATATAGGGCCTAATGACTTCAAATGTAAGTGAGAACAAATTTACTTAGGTTGATCGATAACTTTCTGAGTTTGGCGAATATCGAATCGATTGAAGTTAGCAATAAAAGCAACAATTTTAAATATATACATATATGTATGTATATAGAAAAACGAAAGGAAGGCGTAGCAAGCATTTATACGTACATATGTACATATTTACATACATGTATGTATGTATATATAAAACGCGTCCAATTATGGAAAAGACTGGTGCTGAGCACATCTCTTTGTCGAGCTAGGAGCTGGACTAGCCCATTTGGTATTTCAGTAATAAAGTGTGGATTATTTAAAAGATGGTGTCAATTTAATTTTAAGGTAGCAACACACAACATATACATATATACATACATATATATATTTTTTTTCTTTTGTAAAACATGTGACTTAAATATATGTTCATTTTAATACTTAAAGCATAACATAAGAATTCAATGACCCCCATACATACATGTATGTAAAACTCTCATATGTATATATGCATCTAGATCGGTAGATTATGCGATCAAGGTTTTGTTTTCGATTGTAGCCTTGTTCCCATACCAATTACTACATAGTCTCATGTACCCACCCACAAATCCATTTCATTCCCAGAGCTCAAGACACACATTCTGAATAAACAATTTGCTTGACCAGGCCACAAAAACAGAACAATCGGCCAGACAGAGGAGCGAGAGCGAGAAGAAGAGATAAGAAAGGCGTCGCGACGTCGCCATTTCAATTATTTGTATTCGTATACGTATTTCACTCAGCATTGGATATGTTCACCTTTTGCAGAACTTTCTACTTCATTTGAATGCAAAACAAAATCCATGAGGCCTTTAGAGCCAAGTCAAATCGCGCAGACGAGGCCAAATCGTTATGCTGGAATTGCCCAATTGTTCATTTGTTGATGTGTCTAGATGAGCAGCTTGTTGCGTTGCATTTCAATTTGCAATATGCATATTAACATATATGTATGTACATATGTAAATACAGTCAGAAAAATGAGTATGTTGTTCATCGTAGATATATAGATGATTTTTATTACGATAAAAACATTTCTATGAGCTAAGTAAAAACATCTACACATCATTTATAGAATTAGTGGGGGACAATTGTTGGGGGACCAAAATAATACAAGGCATACATTTGTTGGGGATAAATTAATCACGAATAATTTTAATAAGTTTTACAAATTGAGAACATTTCTTGTCTATAAAGAAATTTAAATATTAATGTAGAAATTTCGAATAAATGTTTTATACCCTTTCCATAGGTTGATCAGCGTACCCAATGTAAATATTGTATACAAATTTTAATTGAACAATTTTTTTATGTCGGCTATTTGTTGTATATATGGGTGTGGGCGGCACTTGGCCATGCCCAGTTGTCTCGTCACGTATGAGTCAGCGGACTAGTTTGAGCTCTTAACACACCCATAAAACGCAAAAGAAGGCAATCAAAAATTCCAACTGGCGCTTGGAAAAATCAGTATCGACTTTGTTGATGCCACCGTCACGTCGTTGTCACCTGGAAAAGGCGCCAATCAAGCGTTGTCGTCGTCACGCACGTCTTGAAGGCGTGGCAGCCAAAAAGATCAGCACCAACAAAATTTTGCACTGTTGCTGTGTTGCACCGTTGCACTGTTGCATTGTTGCGCCGTTCGGTGTTCGTCGCTTTCGCCATGGGGTCGGCAACGTTGGCTGCATTTTGTGGCCGTTATTAATTCGTCACGACTGAGTGGTAGCTGCTGTTGTCGTTGCTGCTGCTGCAGCTGTTTGCTTTAAGGGAAATTAGTGAAAAGCTGTCATTGTCTCGCAGCTGTCGCTGAGCGTCCGCACGTGGCCTCCTAACTCCAAACGTTTTCCGATTTATACCCTTTCCAAAATGTATACCCCCAGCTTGGACAGACTCTTTGAACAGACTCTTGGCTATGGTTCAACACCCGAAATTTGAGTTGCTACCGAAAGCTCATTTGTTAAACGAAAACAAAAGAAAGATGGTTATTTTCTTATTTTTTTTTGTTTTTGTTGTTTGTTTTCAAGAGATTTTGTTTTTTTCAGATAGCTTAGTTAGTCATCAATATAAATTAGTTTGTCCATCGCGTTATTCATATCGTCTTACGCTTCATTTGTGCCAATTAATTTTACTTATTTTGGTTTTTAGCTTATGACTGAAGCCACATTTTCCATGTTTGTGCAACTCGTATCCGCTTATTGTATTATTGTATTATTAATTGGATATCATATAATATGGCATTATGCATAGCCACATTCATTCACATGTACCTGGCCAAATACTCCATTGACTTCCGCATTTGACCAAAGGTCGCCAGGTCTTGAAAGTCCCGTTTCTTCTGCTCTTAATGCTGTTGTTATCGACATGCTGAGATGTACGTCTTGTCAATATTTAATATAATTGATAATTCATTAGTATATACGATATGCCCAATTTATGTTATGCTTATATATTTTTCACATCTTTTCGTTAGTTTAAAGGCTGGAAATTCAAATGCCGCCTTCTCTCAATGTGTTCCGCAAGAAAAAAAAAAACAAACTAAAGGTTTGAAGTATATATATGTCTATGCTTAAAGATTTCAGATTGAAAATGGATGGCAACGTGGCGAGAAAGTTCATAGCAGGCATTGATTGAAGACGAAGTCTTCCAGTTGTCGTTGAGCAATCCGGCTGAATCGCCAGTGGCAGTGAGTTCTAACAGTCCTGTCGGGAATAATGTGTAGGGACAGTCGTTCAGCCGTTAATAAAGATATTGTTATTAAGCAACATCAACATCAACATCATCTATGAGTCGGCTTTATTTAATACATTGAGCAGGGAAATTTGTAAGCAATTTGTGTAAAGTAATTTTTGTTAGGGTATCCAAACGTCATTTTGAAAATGTAAGAAATTAGTTCCAAATGCAATTGCAACTTTCGTTTGTGGCATGGAGGTCAGGTAAATGGCAGACTGGCAGCGGGAGCAGCAGGTGGCGGTTAAAGGGGCCGCTGTGAAAGTACAGCGTGCGACAGAGTTCAAAAGACTTAGGCCACGAATTCGTTTGCCATTGACAAGTGACATTTCCAATCGTTTGTTTGCCGCTGCAATATTTGTCGCTATTGTTGCAGTTGTTGATGTTGGTGCTGCTGCTTCAGCAGCGAAAGCGAATTTTTTTGTGCCAGTTGCAGTCAAAATTTTCAAAGCCAAGGCGAACAAAAATGCGGCAACGTCGCCAGCGAAATGAAAGTGTTTGGTTTTTGTTTTTGTTGTTGCTGTTTTTTTTTGTTTTTTTTTTTGGTGTCCCCAAAAACAGGTTAAGCCAAACAGTGCAACGGCGAACAGTGGGCAGCATTAAACACTTCCCACGATTTATAAAAATACATGCAATTGTTGCAAATTTATTTAATTTTAAATTATGTATTTACTTAATTTTCAAATATATTTGACTTATGAATGTATTTTTTCTGTTAATATTATAATATGCATGCAACGATATGAAGCCAACATTCCACTGTACGCCGGCAACATGTTGCGCCCCAAACATGTTTATAAGCTGTCTTCATGCTGGCGTGTGTTTGATCTCTGTGTGTGTGTGTGTGGATTTTAATGAATTTTCCTAATTAGTCATGTGAAAGAAAAGCGAAAACGGCACATGGCATAAGTTGTTGCTGTCTATGCAGCTTTTGTTATTGTTGCCGATGATTTTGGTGTCGCCGAAGCATAGTTGATACAAAATGTTGATAGCAACACAAAAAGACAAAGTAAAAGCTGCTGAATCAAAAACAAGAGTTCAGCAGCACCACCGCCAAAATATGTAAATGTGTGTATGTGCATGTGTATGTGTGCATGTGTATGTGTGCATGTGTATGTCTATGGCTTTGCTTATGCATATCTGTATGTAAATGAAAAGATGAGCAAGGGAAACGCTGTCGCAACTTTCTTTTGACGCCGACGTCACTGCCGACGTCGACGTGTCGTTTGGGGCGCTGATTGCTTGACATTGGCTTATTTGTTTTGTTTTTTTTTTGGGTTTTTTTTTTTTTTTTGGTTTTGTTTGTTGCTGTTGTAACTTTTTTGGCATACCAACTGCCAACTGCCAACTGCCTACTGCCAAAAAGCCAAAGCAAGAATAACAAAAGTGATGAGAAATACAAACATAAAACTGTTAATGGAGCAGTTTGCTTGAGCTTGAGTCATGGCCTTCAGACCCGTTGCCCCGTTGCCCCGTTTGGTGATTTTAATTTTTTGTGACCACGCCACAATTAGCACCTGTTGGGCGCGCATGTTGCTCCTATTACCATATCTGTAAAATCTGAAATAGTTTGCTTTTCTTTGTTTATTTATTTTGTATTTTTTTTTTTGTTTGTGTGCTTATTATGAATTTGAACCACTTTTCCAATTTGCAGATGAAAAAATCTCGCGAAGCTGACAAAAATGCTCCAATGGCCACAACTGTAACAAATCCAACAGCAACAGCAGCAGCAATAACAACAACAACAACAACAACAACAACAGCAACAGCAGCAGCTGCAGCAGCAGCAGTTGACAAAAAGAATAACAATAACAATTGCAGTAATCGCAAAAGCAGCATCAGCAGCAACAAAGACAAAAACAAAGAGATGCAAACGAATGGAGGAGGCAAAAGCAATTGGAAGGTAAGTAATTATTGTACGAATAGCTAATAAAATACATGCACACATTGTTGCAAGCTAATTGTCAGTGATTGTACAATGATGTGCAATAATTACAGGAGCAGTGCAAGTAAAGCTGCAGACGAAAGAAGGAAATGTGTCTATATTTATATATATAAATATATGTGTGTGTGTGTGTGAGTGCGAAATAATATGAAATATTTGCTCGTGCGCGCTCTTCTGCACCGTTATGCGTCCAAGTGACTTTTCGCTGACTCCCAGCGACCGAGTTGAGTGAGTGAAAATGTGGCTCTGCAAATTGCAACATATTCGCAAATATGCAAATCAGTCGCACTAATCAGTTAACCCAAAACTGACACTTGCATGTTATACACACATACACGCACACACACACGCACACACACACATACGACATGGTCAATAAACGCAAATGTTGATTATGAAATGAGGAAACCATTTACGCGCTCTCTTTTTACCCGCATTGTTTAATTACGTTTTGTGCTTCTTGCTGCTCATTTATTTTTATTACTGCTATACATATGTACATTATGCATGTATGTATGTATGTATGTATGTATGTCTGTCTGTCTGTCTGCTTGTACGTTCGTTGACGCTTAGCAGCGTCGGGCGGTAGCAGCATCATCACACGGAGAAAAGTAGGCCGCGTCGCGACCTGTTTACCGCCAGACCCGCCGCGCCCCCATCCCCCCCTCCCCCCACACACACACACACATTTTCTTGGTAGTTGCTTTAATTAATTTTCTAAAGTGTGTTTATGTGCGCTTACAATGTGTATATACTCGTATATGTATATATATACATACATACATACATTCTCTTGTGTGTTTTGGGTTTTGCAATTGGATGAATGTATGTACATGAAGTCCGTTATTTAAGATTGTGAGCCAATTGCGGCGCAATCGGCTTCAATCAACGCACCATGCTCTTTGATCCTGCCACAACACAACTGTGTTCCATCGCATTTGCAAATGAGAGAGAAATTTCAGCAGCCAACTGAACCTTGAATCTTTCTATAAATCATTTTTAAGTGCTGCCAAATGGTTCCATTTGGTTTAGCTATTTAAGTGCCGTGTGGTTTTTTTGTATCGCTTATCGCAAGCAGCCAATTTGGTTCCGTAATTAATTTATTAATCATATAAAATGAAGTTTAAAGCGTCGCTTCCTTGGTTGCACGTTGCGGCCATCATGCTGCATGCGAACGTTCCGTTTGCATTTGCATGTACAGCATCGCCCAAATCCAATTGCAAATGGGGGAAAAAAATATGCTTTTCAAGTGCATTACCAAGGCACTTGGCGTGATGGAACGGTTGGTGGTTACAGTGGTTGATTTTACGGCATGATTTGGCGCAAAATCAAAGCGTCAACATTTTTAAGGCGCTTTTGTGGTCATTGACCACTGGCCCGTGGCCGAAAAAAAAAACTCCATTTCGGCTTTGTCATTAATTAGTTAAGTTGTTTCTTGTACAGGGCCTCGTCCAAAGCAATCCCAATAGTAATGGTAATGGCAATGGCAATGGGATCTTGTCAGCGACAGCAGTATCCCAGCCACCCAAGATATTCCACAATACACGCTGTACGCGACACCACAAGCCCCATCATACGCACAGCAATGGAGGCGGTGGTGGGGATGTGGGAATAGCAGCGATAGCAGCTGCCACAACTGTTGCAGATCAGCGCGATCGAGATCAGCAGCAGCAGCAGCAGCAGCAGCAGCAGCACCATCGCCACCACCATCATCAGGCACAACAACAGCACCACCTGCACATGCATAGCCACAGTCATAATCATGCCCATCATGGACTGCGTCGCAAATCCGAATCTGTACTCTCCACCGACTCGGACATACGCTTCACACGGCGCAAGCTGGGCGATAGCCAGAAATGCGGATGCGCTGTGATAGCCGGCTTCCTAATCGCTCTCCTCGTCGCCGGTGCCTTTGTTTATATAGGCTGTAAGTACACAATTAACACAATTCAGATGCCCGATTTGACCTGGAAGTGTGTAAAACATTTTAGATACGTACTTTCGACCGGAGCCGTTGCCGGATCGCGTGTTCCGAGGCAAGTTCATGGTGCTCAAAGACAAGTGGACCATGGAGTTGGCCAATCAAAACTCGATGCGCTTCCAGCACAAGGCGCGTGACTATCGGGAGCGCATCAATCTAACTCTGCGACGCTCGGACTTACGGGAGGCCTACGAGGGTAGCGAGATTCTGGCATTAGATGGGTAAGAAGACAATTTGGGAACTTGGGATTAGCCAATTAAGTGGACTAAAATGTATACTCAACTAATTAGCGTGTATTGTATAATTGAGGAGCGATTACTGAACGAGGAACTGGTTTACAGTGAGTGTATCCGATGTGCTATAACCTTCTCTCCCACTCTCATATCTCCAACAGCAGCGAGGACAACAACAATATTGTCGTGCATTTCAACATGATATTCGATCCGTATGCGGGCCTGGTGAGCAGTGGCGAATTGTTGGCGCTCTTCCACGAGGAGCTGAGTGATGCACAGAGTAGGCAATTCGCCAACATGACCGTGGATGTGTCGAGTGTGACGATTAAGGAAACCACTGGTCTCATCGAGGAGCCCATCATGTCCAGCTCGCCACTCGGTGGCCACGATGAGACGACGGAACCAGCGAGCACAACGCCACGTCCGCTGCCACGACGCTGCGAGCCACTGCAGCTAAGCTATTGTCGCAATGTGGGCTATAATGTGACCACGTATCCGAATCTGCTCGGGCATGCCACCTACGAACAGGTGGCCGAGGATGTGATCGTCTTTCGTGAGCTCGTCGACGGCGAATGCTTTCGCGAGGCGTATGACTTTGTGTGCCGCTTGTTGCAGCCGCCGTGCAAGACGCACGGCATCGGCCGCGAGCCGACACCTGGCGCCATTTGTCGTGAGTACTGTGAGGCATTCATGGCCGGCTGTGGGGGTCGGCTACCTGCCCGCTTCCGGCAGCACTTCGACTGTGAGCGCTTCCCGGAGTCGACGGGCACCCAGTCGTGCCAGGAGAAGCCCCACTGCGTCGGCGACATGCAGTCCAATGTGCAGAGTCCGCGTCTCTGTGACGGCTATGCCGACTGTCCCGATCTATCCGATGAGCGCAGCTGCGCCTTTTGCGCCCCCAACGCCATATACTGTGGACGCGGTCGGGCCTGTGTGCCGCGCAAGGCGCGCTGCGATGGCAAGGCCGATTGTCCCGATGGTGCCGATGAGAAGGATTGCCGTAAGTATAATCGTCGTTAACCGCTTGGTTCCGCTGCTATTCGCAATATTCACAATAATACCATTTACAGTGTCAATTGCTCCCTTGGCGGCCGATCTGTTGCAGCCGGAGCCATGGGTACCGTATTTGCCGCGCTTCCATGCCGTTGGCTATGCCGTCTTCTCCGAGAAAGGCGTCGTTGGCAAACTGTGCGCCGAGGGTCTTGAGGGTGATGCCAAGCTAGTGGTACGGCAGACCGTCTCTGAATCCCTTTGCAAATCGCTGGGCTATGAGTAAGTGCATCAATTCTGAACTCGTGTCGATTACAAAATGAAAAAAATCTAACTGTAAACCTAGCGATTATATTCAAATGCAAAATTTGCCTAATCTATTCAGTATTCTCCTAAAATGACGTAATTTCCAATTATTTAAAGATCATACAATTTTGAATTCGAAATTCGAAAATATTTATTGATTTGAATATATATTTTTTAATGATTTAATTTAACGCTCTTGCCTTAAATGGCTTTCGATATTTGATTTTAATATTTTTTATTTTAAATGTTATTTTACATTATTTTATCAATTAATTTTAACTGTCAATCGATAGCTTTTTGGATCTTGCTACATGTTTACGTTGTTGCAAGTTGGCAACACTGTAAAATAGTCCTTTTCAAATTATTAACTGCTTGCTAAATATCGACAACAAGTTAAGAGTTGTAAGGAATGAATGATAGTTGAATAACATGGATATTTTGTAATTACTCTTTCTGTGCCGCAGATCCGTAGAAATCTTTGATGTGCAAAATGATACGGAAAAATTGTCGGATTATGTGCGGGTTTTAGATCCCCATGCGCCCGAAATCAGTTTCATACGCACCCACTGCCCCAAGAGGCAGGTGCTCTACGTAGGCTGTGGCGGGCTGCGCTGCGGTGTTCAGTCGGCGCTGCCCAACGCCAAGCAGCATTTGTCGCTACCGAAGATGTCGTCACCGGGGGATTGGCCCTGGCTGGTGGCACTGTTCCGCGAGGATATACATGTGTGCGATGGCACGCTAATATCGCCGGACTGGGTGCTGACCACGGAGAGCTGCTTCCAGGGCCAGCCGCGGGCTACCTGGATGGCCTTTGTGGGCGCAGTGCGTCTATCGGCGAAGGCGCCATGGACACAGCGCCGCCGCATCATTGGAATGATCAAAAGTCCAGTTGAGGGTTCTACAGCAGCTCTGGTGCGCCTGGAGACGCCAGTTAGCTTCTCGGATCATGTGCGTCCCATTTGTCTGCCAGACGCACTGCAGCGCCAGCAGCCGCCTATGCAACGACGCGCCTATGTTCCAGTCGCCGAGCGATGGGAAGCGCCGCCCAGCATGCATATGCAGCGCCAGCGTCTGGCACAGGAGACGCAACAGTTCTTCCTCATACCGTCACAGCAGGTGCAGCTGGAGGGTTCCGGTGCCGGTGCCGAGGATCATGAGGAGACCGCCGGCTATGACTATCTGCGGGCCGAGGCAGCCGCAGCTCAAATGCCGCATGCCGAGGCACTGCAGCAGGCACCAATCACCAATGGGCAGGATCAGCAGCTCCAGCTAAATGCCTATCCGTTGCCCGAGAGTGCCCCGCAGCTCAACCACTATGAAGCATCCTCGTCCGCCTCCCCCTTGCTGGCGGCGAAAACAACAAAAGCACCAAGTACGCCGGAACAAATCTGGACGAACTGCAACACGCTCGGCTGGTCCCGTCAGCGTGATCATCTGCAACGCGTCCAGCTCAAAATTGGCGATATGGCACCCTGCGAAAACATCTCCATAACGACGGTCAACTCTATGTGCATGGAGGCCACCTACCAGAAATACGATTGCACAGTGAGTAATGTTTCTTCTTCTTTCTTCTCACAATTAGACAATAACAAAAACAACGGGATCAGACAGATATCGATCGAATGAAAGCAAGAGAAATTTCTTGGTAAATGTAATCCAGCTTATTCCAAAATAATTGTTATCTTTTGGTTCTAAATTCCCTTTATTGGAAAGCTGTGTTCCTCTATGGGGAACTAGCCTTGGGTTTATTTTCTATACATACCCTGTAGTTAGAATGTGTAATAACGGGTAACAAAATTACTGTAAAATTGCACCTTTCTTGCTCAAAAATTGTTAATGATCAACCAAGTTCTTATAATATATACAAATTAATTTTACTATATTTCTAATATGAAGTTCTTATAGGAGCTTTAGAATTGTAACAATGTACAAACATTCGTCGATTTTGTATTGTTGCTTATTTGCTAGGAACTGTGGTTCAATCTTAAAAAACAGAAAAAAAAATAAAAAAAATTGTCTATATACACTTTCGTGGTGGTCAGTTCAAGTAGCCAACTCAAGTGCTTCGTGCTGTTAGATGCGTATGGAGCGCGGTGCTGTTGCCAGCAGGGCCGAATGCGTGGCAGTGGATGGAAGTGTACGCCGAGACTTATTATACAACTGGATACGCATCCGTTTGGGCTGAGACTGTGTGTATGACTGCTCCTGATTATGTTGCTGTTGTTTTTGTACTTGTTGTCGCATAGAGCAATGCTGACGACGCACTGAAGCAGCAGCAGCAGCAGCAGCAGCACCAGCAGCAGCTGAAGGATTACCCGGCAATGTGCCGATAAAACAATTCTGGCGATACACGGGCACAGCCATATATTCCGCTTCGGATTCAGATTTGAATTTGAATTGATGAGTCTTGTCGTGGATATCGTCATCTGTCGACCGTCGTCGCTTGATTGGCTCAACGAGGGCGCGACGCAGTTGCTGCCAGTCAAGGCGCAGATAGAACAATAGCTCTGGGCATGGAAACAAGAGCAGAAAATACTCCAATAGCTGCTGCTCAAACACATAGCCCTGACCATTAGTTAGCTTCAGACCAGCGCGTTGTATATCGGCGATGTGGAAGCGGGCGCAGGCTGTAAGCAAATGTTTTCCTTCAACAATGACAATCGACATTTCAATTTTGGCTCACATACACATACATATATACATATGTATTTATGTACGTATGTATGTACGTATGTATGTATGAATGTATATACATACCTTGGGTGATAATCTGGTCGTAGCTGCTGCCCGCCTCACAGATTACGAAACCCACTTCGCCCTGAAAACTGATCTTTAGGCAGCTCTTTATGTCCAACATGATGAAAAGTGATCGCTTCGCTTAAGTGACTCCTTGTAGCTTTGCACTTCTTTCAATATAATGCTTTGTTCCGTTACCGATCGATGGTCGTCGTGCGTTCGCTTCCAATTCTGACGCTCAAATGAATGCAAGTTGCCGCGCGCTGTCTTTTTATGCGTACAGGAGAGAGGACAGAGAAGGAGAGAGAGAGGGTTGTCAGAGCCAGTTGGTCTGGGCGGCACCGCAGCTGCTATTATCTTTGTAGGTAACGGGGATGTTTCTAGACTTTACTTATCTGTGTCCGTGTGTGTCCGTGTGTGTGCGTGTGTGTGCGCGCTTGTTCTATGCTCAGAGTTGTTGGACGGTATGGCATTACTCATCTATGGAACGCTGGCGAACGCTGCATGTCGCTGCATGTCGTGTTACGTTACGTGACGTCACGATCGCTTAAAACAGGGTGTTGCGTGCATTGGATCACACACAGAAGTAAACAAAAAAAAAACAAAATAATAATTGAAACAAAAATATAAAATTTATTAAATTATAATTGTATTTCGAGTGTCAAATAAATTGTTGCACAATTCTGGTTCACTTGCAGCAAGAGGAATACTCTGGGGCGCCCGTGCAATGCCTGATTCCGGGCACCAACCAATGGGCCCTAATTGGAGTCTCGTCCTGGCGCATCGCCTGCGGGCCGACGGGCGTCGAACGGCCGCGAATGTACGACAGGATTGCCTCGAATGCCGACTGGATACGGGAAACGGTGAATGCGGCTTAGCAGAAGCAGGAAAAAGCACACGGACGCACAAAAGAAAAGAACACGAAAAAAACAAAAACTAACGTGTATTATGTAAAAAGCAAGAAGAACAACCCCTAATCGTAACTAACTGCATGGTTTAATCTAATATCATAATGTATTATCATCTGTTTTTTCCCCCGTACTGTTTTGTGTAATATTTATTAATTAATTTAATTGTATGCTAAACGAAAAAACCACACACATGTGCATATATGTATGTGTGCTTGTATATGTATTTAGTACGTAGTAGTTGCTGTAACTGTAATTCTGTTTGTATTTGTTGAGAACGATTGTTTTGTTTATGCAAATTATCTCTAGTTGAATAAAAATGAGTAAAATACAGGCGAGTCAAGTATATGTTGCCTCAAGTATTATGTGGACACGTGCATCACCTGCCACTGGCCATCGTCATGCTGGCGATACTGCAAGCGATCCGCAATCTGATTCACGCCCACCTTCATAAAGTCCCAGCGCAGTGTCGGAAACTTGAAAGCGGTGCTGTGGGCGGTAAATGGGGATTATTACTTCTGTGATAGACAGCGATTATAGATGGACATACAATGTGGGTGGACGCTGCAGCGGCTTCCCACTTTCCAGATGATCCTTGAGGAATTGATCGTGTTTGGTCTTGAGCTGGTCATAGTCCACCGGCTTGCCACAGGGGAAGATACTGGCACGTATTTGGGCCGGCAGTAGCTCCTTGGCCCACCACGCATCCAGCTCGGACTCGGGCAGCTCCACGGCTCTGGCGCCAATTAGACGCACCTGCCAAGTGAGCGGATTGGGTCCTTGCTCCGGCAGCAGTGCCTGGGGGAATAGGAAGGTAATGGCACACTTGGCATTCGCTTTCAGATTCTGGTAGTTGCGGGTGAATCGCTGGGTGACGTAGATCACACATTCATCATCGCTGAATCCTCGATAGAGCACGGTGCGGTTGAGAACACCGAATTCCTCATCGATGGTGGCCAGATTCATATATTGCAGCACATCTGGTTGGGCGACGGCTTGCAGAAGCTGTTTGAGGAATGCCACCGGTTTGTTGGGATAATCGACTATGTGCGCTACAGTCGATTGGGCCATGTTTTTTTTTTTTTTAATTTTGAATGATACTGCAAAAGTTGTGAATACGAATTGAATTGAAATTTAAATTTGATTTCGAATTTAAGTTAAGTGCGCACAAGTTGGCAGGCCGGCAAGCAGTCGTACTATCGCATGCGTATATCGATAGTTCGATATGTCGGTGGGCGTGTGTGCCTGGTACGCAAATGAAACTACATCAAATTGTTACTGTTTATAAACACATACATCCCATTCACTCATTAGTTTGTCAAAGAAATCGCTGCATGGCACGCGCTTAGGCATTGAGGTTTGCTTGCGGTGCCTGTGCCTGTGTCTGTGTCTGTGTGAGCGCCTGCGTCTCCCACAAGTCAGCCTCGAAACACACGCACACACACTCACACGCGCACACAACCACACACACTCAATATGTCTATACTGGATATGAAGTCCGGTCCGCCGGACTATTGGGCGGAAATTGGCAACTTCTTTTTGCCACTGAAGTATCTGATAACCAACGATCGTTTCGATGCCCTCCTACAAAATATTGACTTGCATTACCTGATAAATGCTGTCTTCTGGATATTTGTCGCCCTCTCCTGTGGCTTCTGTGCCTTCCAGCGCGTCTTCCAGGTAAGCCACCCAACGAGTGAGCGAACACGCAATCGTGTGCAGCACTAAGTAGCAGTAAATCGCAGACAAGGACGACAGCACGTCGGACCGTATGTGGTTCAGTGCTGGTGCCTTAATTTTTTGACGTTTATAAATAGTCGGTAGCCAGATGTAAAGCGCTGATTTTGCCGACAACGACGATGACGCCGACTGCGACGACGGCGGCGACAGCAACGACTTCGGCGACAGCGACGACGGCGGCGACAGCAACGACCAGCTGATTGTAGAGCGGCAAAATAAAAACAACCGACGACCAATTAAGATTTAAAAAAGGAATGCGAGCTGTATGAAATATGACATTCCTTGCAAACTATAGCCGTCTACTCACATCTATGTGAATTGCATTCTTATTAAAAAAAAACTATCAGATTGAACTGTTTGACATTGTTTCTGTGTGAGCCATGTCCGATTACTGCTGTGGCAGCTATATGAATATTGCGATTCAATCTGCAGCAAAAATTCCAAGAAACCGACAGACGGATGCATTTAGCGGATCACGAATGTATATATGTATATATCTTTATGGCATAGGGAGTCGCCTCCTTGAATGCACACTTCTACACAAAATTAGAATACCGTCTGGAAGCGTATAAAAAAACGTATGCAAACCACGCTGCGGCATAGCTAAAGTACACTTACATACATACGTACATACGTACATACGTACATGGTATATATATATAGTTATATATTATATTTGTTTTGTAGACCGTTGATGTACTAATTTCATTTTATTTATATTTTCGCTGCAGTTTTTTCTGAAGTCATCGAACATCAAGTATTTTAAGCGCAAACAGTTCGCTCGACTGATCTGGAACATTGCGTTTTATGGGGCAGCTTGTTTGTTTTTGCACTTCTACAACGAGTTCATGATATTGCCGCAGCTGATGAAGAATCAGGGACGCTATTCGCTCTTCTACAGCTCCGAGAATCTCATTTTCTATCGCTCGCATCATTTTGAGAAGTTTCAATTCTATTCGATATTCATCATAACGTTCTATTTGCATGGAGCAATGCTCGATTTCAAAGAGGCGGACATTCTGGAGGCCGCCTCCAAGGGACTCTACCTGCTCGCCCTCATCGCCATCGACGTGTACAGGCATGTCCATCCACCTATCCGTCTTTTCAATCAGCAACCTAGTATTAATTGAGCTTTTGACTACCTGCAGATATGAAAACTACTTCGTTGGCCTGAATCTGACACTGGGCCTGTACAGCATACTGGCGGAGTGTTTGTCGCTGCTGGCGCTGCAGAACTCCAATCGCAATCGCTTGATCTACCAAATGTTTATGGGAATGCGGATCGCGGCATGGCTGCATGTGTTCATCAATCTGCTACCTTTTAATTATTTTATACCCACGCTGTTTGCCAAGAACTTTAAGCTGCCGCTCAATGTGGCCATTTGGCTGTGGTATGGCCTGTCCATTTGGAATTCACCGGTACTGCAGTACTTTTACCATCAGATCTATCATACCACGCCCTCCGACTGCTCCGGCGAGGGCTCAGCAGCCAAGTGAGCAAACAATCCCACATTAATAATAACTGCACTCTTACATTTTAAATGTGATCTTTGCAGATGCATCTTAATGAAGGATACTAGCGAATATCGCCACTACAAGGCGCTCAAGAGGGCGTATATTGAAGTGAAGCTGGCACACGAGAAGGCCACATCCAATCCGATTCCAGCCACTGAGTCCGCCTCAGCCAAAACCTATCAGGCCATCAAGTGTAAGTAAGATCAAGAAGATATTCGTAAATGTTTTGAAATATGCAAATTCTTATTTGGCTGTATTGCAGGCGTTATGATGCTGAAGCGCAAATTAAAGCGTATACGCGAGGGTCGCGGCGCCGAGCCGGAGGATGATAACGAGGAGATCAGCGCCGATTCCTAAACTTGCTTCCTAATGTACTGCACAAAACCAAAAACTCTCGATTTCTTCTGCTTATAAAAGACAAAGCCCTAGGCGAGGCGCTTTTAGCGCTGATTTCATTAGCTACCTCCAATATCACAATAACATCACACAAACACAAACAAACACACATCCACACCCACTCACATGCTCTCTAACGGCTTATTTAGTTTTCAAATATATAATGAGCTCTAAAGCAATACTTATTTATGTACTTATGAATATAGTAGTATATAGTATAGCATATATACTTACCGCCTTACTTCAACGAATTGTTCTTTCGTTGTATTGAATTATTTGTAGTTTGACCTAAATAAAACGCATAACAAATTGAAAACCATGTTATTTAAACAAAGAAAGTAAAAAAAAAAACCACAAACAAGGAGAGTTTTCTCCCTCCACTGCTGACAACCGCTCTAACCAAATAGATAAGAATTATAATTCAACACATATTTCAGTTAACACCTATTTCTTTTACAAAAGATTCCCGCTCTGGTTATTGTTGTTTTTAAATATTCTTGCTTTATTGATATTTGAAAAGAATTTCTATTTTAATTTTTTTTCTTATATGCCATTTGATTTTTGTTTTTTGTTTTGTTTCCATTCACTTTTCCATTAATTGTTATAAATAAGTAGTTGTTGTTTGTTATCTTATCGAAGTTATATTTTTTAGTTCTGTTCGGCTTCTGTTTTTTTTTTTATTTTTTTATCGTGTTGCTCTTTAAACCTTATTGTTTTGCATTAAAAATTCTCTCTAGTTGCTAAGTTTTTTTGTTGTTTCCTTTTTTCATTTTTCTCATTTGTTTTGTTTTGTGTTTTGGCATTTTTACTTTGCATTAGTTTAATTTTAGACGTTTTGTGATGCCAATTTGCATTTTTAGAAAATTCTCAAATGGCATTACGAACAAATTTACGTTTTCATTTACGATTTTGTGTGCCACAAAATATTTGTGAGTATGCATGTGTGCTGATGTGAAGGAAAGGGACGTAGGGTATGGTCAAGGTTGGTTGGGGGGCGTGTGGTAGATTGTGCATTTTCAATGTGTGATTGTGGTAGTTGTATTCGTGTTCTGAAGGGCAAGGGATTGACAAAGTAATCGACGCTTTGATGCTCTTTCCATTCCAATGCCACACAAAAATGTATACGTTGAGGAAAAAAACTGGGATTTTTACAAAATAGCTTTTAGGGTTTGTAAATCGTATAATTTTTAGTTAGTTTGTTTTGTCTCTTTTTCTTTAAGTATATTTAATTTGTTTTGGTTTTTGTTCTTTTCTCTTTTAATTTTGTTATGATTTCTTCCATTGCTTACAAATAAGTTCAATTCGTGTTTTTTTCCCAAGTTGTGTTTTCATTTATCATAGTTTTTTAAACAATTTTTCAAAGTTTTGTTAACAATTTGCTGTGTATATCGCTTACAATTTCATTAATGTTAGTTTTAAATTTACTATTAAATGTATGTTTAAAATTAATGTTAGTTGGTTGTTCATTTTCTGTTTTTCGTCTTTCCATTTAAAGGTACGTTCTAAAAAAAAAATTTTTTTTTCTTGTGTTATTATTATATAATGTTATAATGTATATTTAGTTGTTATATCCCCTTTTTTATATGCACACAGACATATTTGCATGCATTGACATACACATATAAGTTGTTGCTCTTCGCTTGATAATACGCACATAACAATATATATATTTTTGCGACTGTACCTCAGTATGAATACTTGAAAAGTTTGCTCTCATTTGGATACCGACGTTTTATATAATTATATTAAATTTTTCAGTGTTTTATTTTTCATAATGATGTTAATGTTTTATTTTATATAATTATTATTTTTTTTTTTTTTTGTATCCCGAGTTTGCTTTGGTAAAAAATATTTCCATTTTTACATTCTGCTCTGGGACTTTGCAATTTGCAAATTTATACGTTTTCACATGATTTCTTGAGTTATTTAAAAAAAATTCTGTGTAGTTTAATGACTAGTGATATTTATATGCGCTGAAATTGTCGCCACTCAAATATGGGCTTAATTTTTATTTTTTTTTTCACAGTTGGTAAACAGAGGCTTTTTCTGCACATACATGGCCAGAAAATATTGCAAACATTCCCAAATCGATAATCTGTACTCTTTTATAGTGAAAATTAAAAATGTAGATTTTTCAGTGTTGAGTTTGCTTGTTATTTAACAAATTAAAAAAGTATAAACACAGACTTATGTATTTAGCCCGGTTTTCGATTACCACAATTTCCACAAATTGTATTTTTATTTATTTTTATGATCGTAAATGCATTAAATGTTCAATAAAACGATATTAAGAGTTTCAGTAGATTTTATTTACTATGGACACTTCAATTTTGAACGTTCGGCTCGTTTATTCTGTACTCAGATTTGGAAATTGCAAGGCTGGCAACACTGTCTAATGATGATGGAGTTGACCAACTCCAAAGTGACACAGCGTAGCTTACGAAAGCTAACTGCTGAAATTTATTGTGAGGCCTGTTAATGGCTAGTGCAAAGAACAGATCATCAATACTTTTGTTTGAATTGTTGTGTTGTGTGCGCGTTTTTGGTTATGTTGAAAGTCCGCATATATGTGCGTATACGTATGTATGTATGTACTTGTGCATACATAGTCTGTTTGTTGTTTGCCTTAATACATTTATATGTATGTAGATCATTGGCAAGTCGCCTTCTTCGTGTTCAATCATGGTCGCTTCGAAAAAGAATTTACTTTACATCGCTTATGAATCAATTAACAAACGTACAATCAAAAATTAAGCACTCAAATACACTTGACAAACGAAGAAAAGCAATAAAAACAACAAAAATCACTTTCGGTCTCCATCATTCGCACTTGTCGCCCAAATCGAATCAATGCGAACCAAACGAGCAAATGGACAAGTTGGCCAAACATTCAAAAGCTGGCAAACAAACAATTCAACGAAAACGTTTCAAATGAAATTAAATTCAAATTATACTCAAAATGCTGTCCAAAGTGGCCACCAGAAGACGTGCGGGGGGAGTGGTGAATAGGGGCGTAGCCTGATAATGAGTCCTCTGAAAATGAGCAGTACGCGTGCGAAATGTTGGGCCAACAATGAACAAAGCTTCGGCTATAATGAATGAAATTATGTTGAAAACATATTTTTGTTGCCGTCCCACAGATGAAAGAGAGACAAAAAACCAAAAAAAAAAAAAACAAAAAAAAATAAAAACAAAATGTCGAAAAACTGTTTGCTTCCGGCCGAAACTTGGTCCTTTTGTCCATTTTGGGGCTGTTTTCCTATTAGCAAGCAATAAATTTGTCTCTTCCATTGAGCGTCGGCTCCCCCCTCCCCCCGGCTCCTATTTTAGCAGCAGCTAGGTGGAATAGATAGGACCATTAAACAAGTCTCGCGCGCGCGGCACATACTCCCCCATTGGGGTATCGGGGGCAGGCAGACTAGAGGCTGTAACTTTATGATTGCTTTTGTATTGCCCGGCAAGCAAAGGGAGGGAGAGATAGAGGTAGTGAGGGAGTGAGAGGAGACGCGTTGCTTGTCTCAGGACAATAAATAAGATAAATGCTCTAACATACTTTTAGGAGCTGCGCTGTAAAAGTTATAACAAAACTCGCTGATACGCATCGCAGCACAGGCAGGCAAGGAGGCTGGCAAGGACCCTGACATCAAACAGTAAAATGCATGAGACAATGAGATTTACAAGAACAACAGCAAACATGGGGCAAATGCAAGAGTACGGAAGGGCGGGGGGGTGGAGGGGCGTGTGCGCATTCAGACAGTCAAGGCGATAGCCAGGCTAATGTCCTTTTTCTGTGTGTGTGTGTGGCCACAGTTGGTATTGTTGTTGTTGTTGCAGTTGTTGCCGCAACAATTATGATTTGCGGTCGGCTTCACTGTCGCCTTGCCTTCTTCATCCCCCTACCCCTATCCCCGTAAATCGCTCAGCATGTTTGTGTCCAGTCGGAAAACGAGCAAGAAAGCAGGAGAGGAAGAAAAAGCTAAAAACTATGAAAAAAAATAATGAAAACAAAGAGGAAAAACCGCCTTGCGAGTTGCAGGTTGGTCCGTCATTAAAAGTGCTTTAAAAACTTTTCAAAATATGCGCCTAACAAGTGGACTCTGCCTTTTGCATTATATGTATATATAAGTAATATAAAATAATAATTTGTTATTGCTTAATGGCTTCTTATATTGTGCACACTTTATTGTTCGCTTGCATTTTCATTTAATTAAAGTGTTACTTTTTCGTCAGTGAAGCAAAAAGCGGCTACCAATAATTAATTGATAACATGAAATGTTTATTGCAAACAACAGAAATGATGATATTTATTTTAATACGGGTTGCTACCAAAGATCTCAGCTACGACAAACTTGCTTATGTAATTTTTCTTGATTGAATTATTGTTCTGGTCGCAAAATTCAGAAAGTCCCCGTCTATTGATTGCCAGGCATTCTTCCAGAATGTGTTTTTTTTTTCAAAAGAAATGGAAAAAGATTAATTTTTTGCCTTGCCAAAACACATTCTAGATTTATTTCACAGTGCAGTGTTTTTATATTCTCGGTTCTAGAAAAAATAACACCAATTGTCGACTGCACAAAATATGATCATCAGCAGGGGATTTTGACTGCTTTACAACACTTTATGCCCCACCCCCTGACAGAGTAACGCAATCGCAGTACAGCATTTAATATGTAACATGGGCAATTCTGTTCGCCGCTGTTAAAATTTCCCTTGCCAATATTAACATTGCCCGATTTGGTTGGGTATGGTTTTCGTAAACGTTTTTCAAGCCCTTTTAATAACACTTTTTTTTTGTTATTGTTATAATCAACATTATTTGATTTTTATTACCCACGGAAATGCAGATAAGCGAAACGGCGGAAATGAAGCAATGCCATAAAACCAAAGCAAAGCAAACCAAACAAAACCAGGCCAACTGCACAACCAGAGACAAGGCAACTTTTTGGCCCTTGTTGTTGTTGTTGTTGCTCGTGCTGTCAAAAAATGTTGTTGTTTGTGTTTTTGTTGCTGTTGTTGGCACGTGACCCGCCCAGGCAGGTAACCGGTGTAAATTGTGCACATATATTGCGCCACAATTGCAAATTTGCATTAATTATGAGGCGCGAGTGCATTAAATAAGGCAAATGCACTAAGAAGAAATATATAAATAAATAGCGAAAAAGTTATTATGGGCGTGCCCAACATTAAGTACCCATGCAGACTTTTGCGCAAAGTTGAGCGAATATTATTTTTCTTTAAAAAAACTAAGCGCGAAAAATATAGTATAATATACCAAGAAGAAGTTGCAGTATCCTATGTAATCATGCCTTAAATTCGATATACTTAGGAAGCCTCAGACCGACAATAATGCTTAAATTTTTGTAAGAAACAAGAGGAGGGTCAGAAGCGGGCACAATGTATTTAAATAGCTTGTTGATCTGTGGCTATGTTGCAGGCTGATGTTTTCTGGCTGTTTTGGCGATTGTGGCCAATTATATTGTGATTTGCACGTGCGCGCAATTAGCATGCCACGAAAATTTAACTGGCTGTCTCATTCTAAACTCAAAAACAATTATTATGATTCTGCATTGCTTAATAACATTTTAACTAACATTTTGCTGTGCTCGCCAAATTTTGAATTTATTTTGATAGCTGTCCAAAAATATAAAAAAAAAAAAAATGTATATATATATATATATATATATAAACTGTTGATCAAAGTATAAACTGTACTATAGGCTAAATAAGAAAAATGTGTAGCTGCATGATCTAAAGAATACCATTTGTATTTGTTTGCATATACATGTACAGATTAGCTTAGCTAGTTTGGCAAATTGAATATAAACCAAAAACTATATAGTTAAATTGTGACGTTAATAAAGGATTGTTTGCTTCGATCAGCACCAATTCTTATTTGATAGAAATGGAATCAATTTTAAACTGTAAATGGGAAATTTCCAATTGCTTCGAAATTGATTTGAGGTGCACAATATTCAAATATTGGAATTGTATTTGATTAAAAATGTTTAGCCAATTTTGCATTGGTGGACGCATAGTAAAATCAAATGTGTTTTACTTGGTCTTTTCATACATATATGTTCTAATTTAATTTGTGCTTACTTTGTTTTATTGTTGTTGTTGATGTTTTTGTTGTAGTTGTTGTTGTAGTTGTTACTGTATTCGTTAAACATTGGTGTACAATTTTGGCTACTATAATTAGTTAGTTAGGGTTCGTTCCTTTTTCCATTTCCATTACTTATGTATATAAACATATGTAAGTATATAACCAAATACAGTTATTTCGCTATGTACGAGTATTCTTGCTATACTTATAGTTACTTCGTTTTTGATGTTGTTGTTGCTGTCGCGATTGATGCTGTTGCCACGATGCAAAAATAAAAATGTATAAAAACCAGAAAACAAATGCAAATTTCTCATGTTGCTTTTCAGACTGTATGTATGTGTGTGTGTGAGTACTGCTTTTGTTTTTTTTTGCTGTTCTTACGGGACTTACAACACGGGTCTCGCCACATTCGGTTTAGCCGTCGTGGATGCAATCTCCGACAGCTTGATGTCAATGGGCACGCGAGTGTCGTAGAGCGTGGGAGCCTGCAGGATAATGCCAGCAGTGCCCACAACGACAGCTATTGTGAATATCCAGAGAAAGAGTCGATCCAGCACCATGGCAACGTACTTCCAGTCCTCTTTGACCTGTTAAAGAAACATCGTAAGTCATTGAAATTAATCAGTTGCACCTAAATAACAATGCCAGTCATTATAATGAATGAGTTAAGTGAGTAATATACTTGAAATGAAGAATTGCATCATTCGAAATATTAAACTGAACACATTGTTGTTGATCTCTTCAGTACTACAATAATATTTACTTCTTGTATTGAGACATGTATAATATCTAATTCTGGTTTGCAATATTCCTCCAAAACTTTTCACGGTATGCATGTATTGCGCAATTTTCTGATGTGTGACATCTGATTAAAACAAACCTGATCTAATTGACAACATTTTTTTTTCAATTAATTAGTTGACAAATTATTCGAATCAATCGCAATGAGGTATAAATGTATGTTCGATTCATTTAATACATTAACATTAGATAAATGGATCTTAATCTGCAAAATATGTTTTATGAGTAAAGATGATTCGAAATTAGTTCACTCTATTTATTGACAGTGAGACGCTGTCTAAAAGTCTGTTCTATTCAGTTGTATTTCATGGATTTAGACGTTCGCATTGCCATTGTTAATTGCTCTATTACGTTCTATGGCTCTCCCGCATATCTCAGTACTTGCGGCTTGTCGTATTGTATCCTGCGTCCTGGGCGCTGCTTCCTGTGTGATGTGTATTGTGTGTGTGTATGCTTTGTGGTATAGTCTAAGCCCAGCATGACATTCCAATAATGATTGAATGTGTGCGCAATTTTAATAAAATACTTTTATCGGCATTTGTACCGTCACAAGACATGCATTATGCCATATCAACCTACTCATAGGACCTATGCATAGGACAGGACTGTGCGTGTTCATTAGGCGCATGAAAAGTCATTAAAACTTTTGACGGTAGTTTAGTCTCGTCTCTACTTTCTGCTATGTAGTAGAAGGGAAGGATATGGACAACGACCACGCCACATGCATGTCAAAAGGTCGACAAAAAGGTCAAGGCTAGACAGTGTAGTCAATATTATCAGTAACATCATTATCTACATATATCATTATCTTTGAAGAAACGGTAGCTGCTAACGGCAGCTCATTTCTCCTGGCATTGTCCGGGTGTCCTCGGTGTCCTCGATGTCCTCGGTGTCATCGCCTCTCCCATCGATTATTGGCATTGTCAAGCAAAGACTGCTCCCTAATTTATTGCTACCGCCAACGTTGGCCTATTGACATTATACGCCCAATTTTGGAGGCCATGTAGGCCCCTAGGCAACACCCTCTATATCCCTGATCCCCAAATGCCAACCCGCCTGCTCCCATTGACGTCCCTTGTTCCCTTAGGTTACGAACAGGTTGAGACTTAGGCTAAGCTGCGTGAAATGCTAAGCAGCTTTCGGCTTTGTCAGGCAACCTCATTTAGCATCATTTGCCGCCTGCTATATTGAAAGAAATTATGCATGACCACGACCAAGCCGACAAGTTATCTTGATAGATTTTAATTGCCAAATGAAACAATGACCAAAAATATTATGTGAAGCTTACAAATCGGCTCTGTTTCATTTATAGGAACTTGAAAGCGTTCATAAACGCATCCAGATATCTAGAGGACACACCTTGACTAATGAAATAGACTTGAAATTTAATTTTTGATCAGTTTTGAATAATTTATATGAGCATAAATTTGAAAGCCTCATATCGATAATTCCTAATTATGTGCTTAAATTTGCAATCTAATATAGAGGACAATAGATCTCGTGCTCAAGGTCGTACACAACCCAGGATTCATACCAAATTTATGGCATCGGCTGTTGATACTGATGCAGAATAGGTTCGGGCATGGATCCATTTGCCGGGTACATACTTTAGCACAACTACATTATACCCTCTTTACTTATTTCCAATGATTTAAGTTAGAAGATTACATACCCTTGTAGACTGCAGTTAATCTGCTGACATCTAAATTCTAATCCGAAGTGCGAAATATTATTATGTTTTTGTATATTGTAAATAAATTGTATTAATATATTTTCTGTTTCACGAGTGGCTGCGAACTGAATATAAGAAATTGTGACTTTGAACCGAATGTTTCGAATTTAAAAGAAGGGATAGTAAGTACTCGTTGTTTTGTCAGTCTAACTATTTGTTGAATATGTGAAAGATCAATACAATATTCCGATAACCTACTGCTAATGTAAATAACAGGGATATTGATACTGCACTTGATACTCTAATTACCACCTATATATGTATAAGGAACATATTGTACAAACTCTCTTCTTTGTCTGACCGTCAAACATAGAGCATTACTTTGCCGTTTCAAATCCTAACAGGCTATGGGCCCATTAAGCAAAATTATAATGCAACTAAGGTTATGTTGAAAGACGCCTTTAAGATCTAGTGAAACTTTCATTAGAATTGCATAATTATGCATTGTGTGCAAACCAACTTGTATTTTCTGTGTGAGAACAAGTACAAGCGAAAAATGAAAAATATCTTGTACAATATATGATTCCGTGTTCTTTCACTTCGGGAGCTATGAAATGCGAGTGAATATAATCAAAGGCTTTAGCGGTGATTACTTTATCAATGAAAGGTTCTGATATTGGGCATATTAAGAAATTTGGTTCGGCGTCGAGTGCGTGGATATGTATGGTTTGCTTAGTGGTTCATTCAGACGGACGGACAGACAGACAGCATGACGGACAGTGCACAAAACCAATACACTACCATACCTTCGGTATCACAGTAAAATAACAGTGAACGATATTTCAGCGAGCAGAGCTTTAAGGGAGCTGCACTGTAACATTCCAGAACAGTCGTGCGTGTCTATGTGACGAAAACGATAAAACACTGATTATTGCAAATCATAGAATCAATTTATTTCTGTGTGAAATAACAAAAACAATAAATGCAGTATTCCAAAGTGGAAACGGCAAAAGTGGCAGTGAGGACATTATAAAATGGCATGGCAACATGTAAAGCCTCAAATAATTAATTAATATGAAATTGGTACTAGGATCGAACTTCAACAGCACAAACGAATTGGACTGAAAAATAAGCCTACAGAGTAAGGGTTTGCGCGAAGCCCTTTAATTTGTCGGTGTGCAAAAGTGAGGATGTGTTAAGCCTCATACGTAGTGATGTTTGCGGCTCTGTAAACATGTGTTCAAACGGAGGATCACGTTACGTCGATGCATTGATTGATGACGCGATATGTTCACGTATATTTTATAAAAAAAATGTCAGAAGTTCTAAATATGTTTAATAACAAGGTGGAATGCCAAAATGGCAAATGGATCAAAGTGCTTCGCAGTCACAATGGCAGATAATATGTAAACAACGAGTTTCACATATATATTAAATAAAATGGCATCGTCCGCCAATTGAGTGTGTCACATACACCCCAGAAAAATGGAGTTGGCGCGATGTATACTGCTAGACACCAAACTTAAATAAATTCTCTGGGGAGAAGCTGCACCTGAGTACGCTAAATGAGTTATGGTCAGGGCAGAACCCTTCAGTTGGTCACCTTCTTTCATTTGGGTGCTTGGCAATTGCGTTGGACAAGACACAGAATTGGAAATTCAGACCGAAGGGTATAGAATATATACTGGTTGAATATGCAGATCAAGCTGAAGCTTATCGCCTGTACAACAGTGCCAGTGGCAAAATGATCGTATGCCGTGATGTATACTTTGTTGAGTCAACAGCAGTCAATAGCAACTAGTGCAGTTGATATACCCGTGTTAACTGATTTTAGTTGCAACAAGGTAATTACAGGTAATTTCAGTCCAATAGAAGCAGCAGCCGAGGCAGCAGCGAAGGCAGCGGCAAACATAACGGTAATAACGATACCGACAAAACGTGTGTCAAAAATAAAGCAAATGGTGATAAGGATCACGATAACTACAAAAGAGAGATCGGCAAGAAAATCAACTGGCTTGAAAGAACCAGGGGGCAAGGATGGAAGAAGACCAGACGACAAGCGGCACAAGCTGAATCTGCTAAGCAGTGATGACGTCACAACACCAGCAACTGTGGAAGAAGCATTGGAAAGTCCAGAGGCAATCGAATGGCACAAAGCTATAGCACAGGGAACCAGCCAAATTATCATCTAATCATAAGTGAACTGTGTGTATTTGCTAGACATACACAAAACCACATAATTATAATATATACCAAGAGTATTTCTCGTATTTTCTAGGTGATTGACAAGGGCCCTATACATAATTTCCTTGGTATGGAAATTAATAGGAAGGGCATAACCGGGGCGATAACGATCACCCAGCATCAGCACGTGTTGCAGCTGTTTAAGCAGTTTGGCTTGGAATCGTGTCGGCCAGCATCAGTGCCGTTGGCGTCCGGATACACTACCAAATGTGAGAGCCAAAAATGCAAAACGGTCAACCAGTCACTGATCGGGTTGTTGATGTACCTTTCAGTTACTTCCAGACTTGACATTTTACAATCAGTCTGTAAGCTGTCCCAAAGGAAAACGGACCTCCACCAAGAGCACTGTGAAGCTGCAAATCAAGTGCTGAGGCATCTTAAGATGACATCTTCAATGTGCATAACATATGCAAAAACTTATCAACGGCTACGTTGATGCGGACTGCGGTGGAGATAACGCAATGCAAAAGTCATATATTGGATACGCGTTCGTTCTTGGAGGTAGCGCATTCTCATGGGAAAGCAGGAAGCAATCTTCAGAAGCACTAAGTAGTATTGAAGCCGAATATATGGGCATATCTGAAGCACCTAACGAAGCAGTTTATATTCGGACATTCGAACATTCGGACAGAGATACGAAAAGTATTGTAATTCATAGCGCTATGAACTTAGCTAAAAATCCTATTTAGCCTATAAGAAGCAATCATATAGATATATATTCTCACTTCGTTCGAATAGTTTTTAGTAAGCTTGTAATTCAGCTGGAATATTGTCCAACGAATCAATTGATGGCAGATATCTTAACTAGGAACTTGAGCAAGTCGAAACATATAAATTGTAATAGGCTGTTTTGTCTCAAGTTAATTATCAATAGTGTGTATTGAGAGTATGCAAAAGATCAATACAACATTCCGATAACCTATTATTAATTTTAACTACTACATCGATGTATAAGAAACATATTGCATAAATTCTCTTCTTTCTCTGCAAGCCAAACATAAAGCACCACTTTGCCCCTTCAAATCCCAACATGTTGTCTGCTGCGATTGAATGCGTAACTCACCCGTGTGCTCTCCTCCTCTTTGCGCGTCTGATCCGCAATGTACGTGACGCCGTCCATGGCTTTGTGGAGCTCCGGGCAGGTGTGCCAGCGCTGGCGGACATTGCCACGCCCCGAACAGCAATGGGGACCGCCTTCGCGCTGACAGGCGGGCAGTATATCACAGGCCGGCGGTGGTGGTGGCGGCGGCGTTGCACCACCCGCTGCTGCAGCAGACGCAGCCGCTGCTGCAGCCGCTGCTGAGGTGCTTGCGCCCGAAGCCGATGCAGACGCGGCTGCAGATGCCGTAGCAGCGGCAGATGTGGTGGGTCGATGCATATGCAGGAGCTCCGAGGATTGGCAAGCGGCGCCGGCGCCCATGCCCTGGTGTTGAATCTGAATGCCGCTGCAGCAGGAATCGGCGAGCGTTGAGGCGGTGGCCACCGAATTGACCGTCGTCGTGGACTTTATCACATTGGGATTGTGGTTACTGCCCAGGCCCAGGTCGCAGGTGGTCGTTGAGGCATGCGCCTGATGCGCATGCACCGGCAGTGGCGAGAAGTTTGCCGAGCAGCTCGACTGCTGCCGATACAGATGATAACTGCCCGCCTGACTCGCCTGATGTGCCAGCGTCGAGGTGGAGCTACTTTTGCCAGCACCACTCCCACCGCCACCACAACCGCCTCCCGCACTGTAGTGATGATGACCGGCACCATTCTGGGCCGTCTGACTCGAGGTTGAGGTCATCTGCCGGAACTTGGTCGGCGTCAGCGGATGATCCAGCAGGGATCCGCCTGTCTGCTGGTACTGATTGTGATACTGTGCATCGATGAGCGAGGATGTTGTCGAGGTCTGTTGATTCACTGTCGAGATAGTTGGCGGATACAGCGAGCTCAAATGCCCAGTGATCGTTGATGCGCCACCTCCACCCCCACCCATGCCTATTCCCATGCCCATGCCACCAACAGTGCCCAGGTCGTCCATCAAGTTCATGGCCTGGACTCGATGCTGTAGATGTGGCGAGGTGCTGCGCGACGTCGTCTTGGGGCTATGATGCATGCTTCAAATGCAAAAAGGTTTTCAGGTTTCACTTTAATTTTTTTTATAAAATCGCCATAAAATAAAAACCGACCATAAAACTAGAAAGTTTTCTTATTTTTATAAATAATTTCTAAATATGAGAACAAATTTTTAAAATTTGGAAAGACATGTCCTAAATCGGCAATCACAAAAATGTTGAGTTACAGTTATTTAATTTTTTTTTTTAAATTAACATTGTTAAGGAATGCATTTTTAAAAAAGTGAGAAGGTTGCAGTCGGGCGCAACCGCTTGCAAAATACTCTCATATCATAAGTAAAACCATTTGATGAGAGGTGCCACAGAACATGTAGCCAAAATGGTTGTTATCTGAAAATGTATATGCTGATCGTTGAACGAAGTTGCCAGCAAGTTACCTTCCAAGTTTGGTGACTCTATTTTTCAAATTGTGGGAGATATGCGGCTTTATCGACTTACACTTTCAGAAACATTTGTTTGGCGATTATGCGCACAGGTGTGGGCATGGCTAACAGTAATATACTTATGAAATTTGAGAGCTCTAACTCAAAAACTGCGGAAGATATAGCCATTTAAAATTTTTAGGGCCGGAGGGCCTGGGTGCGGTGGATGTGGGCGTGTAAATAAATAAAATGTGTAATAAAATTTGTTCTCAGTATTATAGTTTAGCTGCTATATATTTAGTGACTGCGTAGCTCTCTTTAATCGGGAACGAAGGTTGTCGGGTCCGAGTCACCGTAAATAGTAAGTCATTTTAAATCACTATAAAATGCATTTAAAAAAACTATGTTAAGTTATTGTTAAATTTTCAAATACACTAATGCATTAATAATAATATATAAGCAACAAAAAATGTAATAAAACAATGTTTTTACGTACACGTAGCAACACTCTCGCATGCCAAATATATGGCGAATTTAAATGATGTAGGGGGTGATTTTCATTCTGAGTGTACTCGTATATGCGACTGCATCTCATAGTCAATGACAAACTTGTTTTATATTTTTTTTATCTGTCACAAAATATCAACATAATAATATTCGTATTTTTTAAATTCTTTTAATAAATCAGCTCAAGCATAAAAATCAGAGAATACTCAATTTATATAAAAATGCTGGTTATAATTCAATTCAATTCGTAAATAGTTGAAATGGAAAAGACTTTAGCAGTTGTATTGTGGTTTGTTGCACTTACCGGGATAGGGCGACGGGTGGTGGCAGCGGTGGTATTTGATCCCTGAGCTCGAGACCGTTACATGTGCGCACCATGAGACGGCGTGAGGACTTGCTGCAGACAAAAATAACAAATGGCAAAGGATATGCAGTGAGTAAGTGCTTTAGGATGTCAGGTGTGTATATATATATATATATAAATATATTTTTATATATTGCGACATACATCATCTCGCTGATCGGATAGAGCGGTCGACGCATCACCAAAAAGCGCGGCAGCTGATTGATGAACACCGTACGCACCCACGGAGCCATCGTATGTGTCTGCGGTGACCGGAAATGGATATTCAGTACCAGGACTGTAACACAGATGCTGAAAAAGGAGGCAAGTTATTAAAGATGGTCAGAGGTGGAGACAGTATGGAATAAGCGTTGTCTGAGTTCTTTAGTCTGGCTAATTAACTTGTGACGCCCACGTCTGTTTAATTAGCTGCTGCCCCAGACGGAGACGATGGTGGTGCTAGGCCGAAGGAGGCTTTAGAGTTCTGTGTCGATGGTGGTATGGTCATTGCCTTAATTACATCATTTGTGGTTCAAGTCCGAGACGGAGTCCTGTTGCGCCAAACCAGCGTGGCCATTGTTCTCGACCTGAGCAGCAGGCAAGGGAAGGGGCGTGCAGACTCGACTTTTGTTTACCAGCAATTAGACGACCATTTATGCGGCGAGCTGGGCATGGTAAATGACTGTAAATTGCCGGGCCATTTTTGAAGTTTGACTTTCGCTCTAGTCAAGTCGAAGCGAAACAAAGCGAGTCGACTACCCCTGCCAGGTTAAGTCAAATGGGGCGAGGCATGTGGGCAGTTGGCCAAAATAAGCATTAGATATAAAGAATCCCTACCCTATACTAAGCCAGAGAGAATGCTCTATTCTAGCCAAATCCATAGATACCCTGTATCCATTATCACCATAAAAATCACAATTTTATTATTATTTACTATGCATATTGTTAATAGTTATAATTGAGTTCTTCAAAGAAATTTTAAAAATAACGTTTATTATTATAATTTTTTTTTAAGTAAGTAATAAGAGTTCCCCAGGTCCCTAAAACTGATGACTTCAAAAATATGGTCTGCCTTCTATTCCAGACGCCATAGAAACCACAAAAGACAAAAGAACAGGAGCAGTACCGTCAGTTTGACGGATATAGCTACTACAAATATAAAGTTTGCTATTGACTTATTTCTCAATTTGTGGGTTAAGCACCACCAATTACTGTAATATTTATCTGCTCGCCATGCATGTTAATTTGTCAATCAAGATTAGAAACATTATTGAAACATAACTGACATGCTTCAATAATGTTTATAATCTTCACTCATTCATCATGCCCCAAATTTATCCACTTTACAACAGCAGGGTGCAAAAGAAATACTTTAAAACTACACCAAATAAATGAAGAGTAAAAATTGAGCTTGTTGGAATTTTATTTTTTTGCATCCGTTTCCGTAACTGCAGCTGTCTCATAAGAAAGGGACAGCCAGACAAACTCGGGGGACAAACACCCACCAGGGTACTCCAGCGTTACGTGTACGGTTATCAGTTGCCATGCACATCGAATGAGTGCGTGCCTGCCTTGGCATTCACATTCGTATTCGTATTCATATTCACATTAACTTACCTGAACGTATCCAGTATCATTGTGAAGAGCACAAATTTGCCGAGCAGCGGCACCACCAGCGACGTGGGCGGAATGATTTCCGCCAGCAGCAGGAAGAACACAGTGAGCGACAGTAGAATGGATATGCTTAATGATACCTGAAACAGACAGAGAAGCAAAGAAAGCGAGAACGCGCGCGGAAGAAAGAGATAAAGAGAGAGGGAGAGAGAGAGAGAGAGAGAGCGAGTGAGAGAGGGAAAGAATGAGCGTGTGTGAAGTAGGGGAATAGAATTAATGATGTTTTAGTCAAGTTCATTTTGCAGCTTTTGCAGCTTTTTGATGGGCGACGAAACATGGAGAAGGATTTGGGAAATTGAGTTGTATGTGAGCGGAGAAGCGAGATGAACATCGGTGGTGTGGAGTGGGGCCGATAGAAGCAAGTGGGAGAGGCGTGTGGTGGTGGTGTTGGCAATGTTATTGTTGGTGGTGGTTTACAGACAGTGTGTGCCAACATAAAAAAGCGACAATTGAAAAGAGAACGCAATGAAGATTCTGCTGATAAGATTTATGTTAAAATATGAATATCTTTACATGAATTTGTTTGGCTTTTACTTAATGATGTGCATGTTGTGCTTGAAGAAATACAAATATACCAATATGTGTATACACACACAGACACACATATATATATATATATATATATATATATATTTTATATATATATATATTTGAATAGCCTGATATGATTTTGCCAAGTTCTTTCTTTTTATCAATGCAATTTATTTTTGCTTAAGAGATAATATTTTTCTTATAAGCTTTTCGTGCACTTTATGAATTAAATCAAATCAATTTGTATTAATTACCATATTCAATCCATTTACTTTTACTGGCAAGTTTTTAACATTTCATAAGATATATTTACTTACTTTTATTTATTGCCTATTTCGAAGTATATGCTATATATATATCAATAAAGACTGATGTTTCCACAGCTTTTGCTTTCAATTAAAAATGTATAAATAAGCAAAGCACACTAAAAACAATTAGTTGCTAAAATGCAATTTGAATTCTGGACGAAGAAGCTTTTCCACTTGTTAAGCTTATTTATAAGCCAATTGACTTATTGACTTTATTGTTCTTCTTCATGCATCTAAACAAAATTTTATAAAAGCATTTTATTTGCGCAGCGAGTGAATTTACTTTTCGTCAATTGCCAGTATATTGTTCGTATTTTTTAAAATTTTCTACTCGAGTTATTAATATCGAAGTCGAAACAAATTTGAAATTGATTTGCATGTCTGAGTGTATGTGTTTGTGTGTGTGTGGATGTGCGTGGGTGTGTGTTTCCAATATACAAAAACAAACACAAGATGAAGATGATAATGATGGTGTAGAGGAATATCTGACAACAACAACAACAACAACAACAAAAACGGCAAGTCAAATAAATAAACACATGGCAAACTGAGTGACTAATCCCTCCGAATCTGCTGAACATAACATACATACATACATACATACATACATACATACGTACATGCATACATACATACATGTGTACATACATACATATATACATGTACATATATTGCGGTGTCAAGCACATAAAAAACATGGCGTACTTCGCAGCTCGCCCAATAAAGCAAACTCAATATAATTTGAGTGTGCGAGTGAGAAAGTGAATGTGAGTGAGTGAGTGAGCTGCAGTCAGTGGCTGTCAAGTTGTACGATTAACTGCTAAGCACAGCTGTCTCAACTGGAGGTCAGGACAGGTGCGCTCAGCTGCTTGTCTGCCCCTCCGTCTCCCTCCCATTCCCACGATGTGTGTAAGCTGCTTGTAATGAAGTGTGTGTAAAAAGTAATTATGTGTCGAAAATGAGACGGGCTATTTGAGTTCTTCTTCATCTATTTGGGTGTGTGTGTGTGCACAGAGAAATACAAACTCACAATGAGTCTCTCATTGTCTGTGTGTGTGGCATAAATTTGATGTCTAATAATTTTATGATAATTAGCCTTAGTGTCGTAGAACGATTAGTGCGACTGACTAATTAAGCTTTTGACATGCGACATGCGACATGCGGCAAAGTCAAACTCAAGTTGAAATCATACGCGCCTTTCCAGCACCTATTGTTTATGCAAATATGTTTTTGTGTATGTGTTTGTGTATGTGTGTGTGAACATGAAGGAGTCGTTCATTTACGCGCTTGTCGCATCAGGCAAGCAGTCGGTAGGTCAAATTATCCTTGTAAAATGTAATTGTTTCAAGAATATTCAAAAATGTTAACGGCCACTGCCGCCACTCAGTGCCTGCCACAGTTCACAATACTGTACTGGCTCGACTTGACTCGCTACTTAGTATTGGACACGAACACTGGCCGGCAATTGAATGAATGGAGTGCGTTGTGCCACATGTGTATGTAAATTGCCAATTACAATTCCAATTCGAAACTCGATGCAGATGCCGATTGGACATGCAGGCCCCGTTACGTGCAGGAGCTAGTTATAGTTTTTTCAAACTTCACTTGCTTTTATGATATGGAATGGACACAATTTATCCACCACCAACACAACCAGCACCACATTCCAGGACAATACGACTGCTGTTGCTCAACGCTCAATGTCGTTGACCGCTCTTAGGCGTAAATATTTGTGCGGTCTCTTTCTGGGTATGTGTGTGATATATCCAGCTGTCCATTCATCTGTCTGTTGTGTGTGTGTATGTGTTTGACCATAAAAGGAACAACAGTACAGTATAGACACGCAGCACAACCGGATGGCCTCGTAAAATAAAAGCACAATGAATTGTTTATTCGAGCGTAGCCAAACTGAAATGCCGAAAGTGGACAAACACAGGCACTTTATGCTCCTGAGTTTCCATTCTACACTTAGTTGTTCACTTTAACATATGCTCCTTCTTCAACCTGTTATCGTTTATCCATTCCATTCATAATTTTAATCGAGCTATACTTGATTCGTTTATCTTCATCACCCAGTTAGCTTACTGCTTAATATTTCAAATCAATCAGTTAAAGTATATAAGAATTTTAGTATTGGATAAATATCTCTAGAGATTAGAGATTGAATTCAATGTGCATGGCTTTTGATTACTTACTTATATTATTACCTATTTATAAGCTTAAATTTTAACGTTTTATCTGATTTATTTGTGTTTAGTTACCTTAGTTTTAGTCATGTTTTTTCGCGAAATATAAACGCTCCAGTAATATATAAAAGGGCCGTCCAATTTGCGCTTCTTACATCAACGATTATTGTTTTAATCGCTCGTATTCATTCAACGAGTGTTGACTTACTCGCTCTGGTTACTTCAACGAGTATTGTTATACATGCTATTTAAATGTTGATAGTTTGTGCTTGATTTATTTGCCTATTCTATTGTATATTTTAAACGCTCTTCTCATATTCACTTTTGCAATAGCAACGCTGCTTTCGTTCTGAGTAATTTGCATATTATGTCAAAGACTTGCAGTTCCATTGGAGAGTTGTCTGGCTCTTTAATAATTGAAATCGCATAATTTCTATATGCGGATTCTCAAGCGGATTGCTTTATCCGGCAATAGGTACGGCACTGTCATATGCACGGCTTGCACCGTCTATATTTATTGCAAAAATTATGTATAATGGACGCTACCAACGTTGACGTTGACGTCGACGTCGGCGCCCATTGAGATTAATAAAACCACGCGCACATACATACATAGTACATATTATTTTTGCGTTTTATTTATTTTGAAAATTGGCCGTAATTTATTCATTGGTCCCAGCATCATGTAAATATTTATATATATGCACTATGCTGCTTTTTAAAAATTATTTTTTGTTCCATTTGTTTAATTTGAATTTTTATTTTTAAAGGTTTTTCGGCCACTTTGGTCGTAGTGGCAGCTGAGAAACGCCCAGAACAATTCATAAATCGCGCGCGTTTTTTAACGCTGGCTATTCATTTGCGTCCCTTTCTATATGTGTGTGCTTGTGTGTCTGTGTGTGCAGATATGTTCACATTAAATTGAATACATCATGTTAATTTTATTTGTTCAAAGTTAAATGGCGGCAAATAGTGAAAAGAAAATCACGAAATGCATTTTCATTTTCATTTAAGTCTGAAATAATTTTTTTAAAATTAAAAGCACATTGAAATGGTGGCTGCGAAAATTGTGTGTAGTGTGCACAATAAATTATGGCAATTTCTATGGATAAAACAAAAAAAATAAAAAAAAAACTACTAATGTTGACGCATCAGTTGGGAATCAATTGTGGATCAGTGATTGTGGATGAAAAATGAGGAAGTTCGAGTGATTCTGAACATCACTCACCTTTTCACCGCTGTCCGATGGCAGGTAGAAGACCAATATGGTTAAAAAACTGATGCCCATGCAGGGTATGATCAGGTTGACCGTGTAGAAGAGCGTCTTTCGTCTCATTGTGATGTTGAATGTTATGTCCAGATATGGCTCATCGCAGCACGTGTAGAATTTCTCATTGCTACAGAGAATATAGAAAACAACAAAAAACATGCATCGGCTAGAATATATGAGAGTAGCACGTATATGTTTATTTATTATGGGCTTTTATTTGCAGCCTCGCAGACATCCGCAGCGCTAACATATATTATGTTTGTATCTGTGTGTTTGTTTGTGTCTGTGGCAAGTCCAAGGCACATAAATCATCAGCGCCACAATAAATATTGAAAAATGCTCAACATAATTTCCAATGGCTCACTCTGATTCTCCAACTGCTCGCGACTGCTGACCGTCAAACTGGGACTCAAGCCTGCCTCAAGCCACAAACCCAAATCCAAACAAACAAAAGGGAATCACAATCTAGAATCTAATACTCAGCCCGTACGAATGAATGTCGTTGGCTAATGAACTTGACACTTGGCGGCAGAGAAGTCGCGTTGCTTCACAGTCGTCTACATAATTTAAAAGTTAATAATCTTTGATTGCCAGCGCAACATGAAAGGAAAAAGCAACAAAATATAAAGTGAAAGGCAAATACAAAACAAAAACAGAAAGCAAACAAATTTTGTAAATTGAGTCAAGAACTTTTTGGCGACCGCACTTGACAAAAAAACAGAAAGGAAAAATAAATGCCTGGCAGCTAGGGAAAACCAGTGAGCAAAGGGTTGGCTGGGTTTTTCCTGCCCTGTACTGTTGTGGCCGAGGCAAGGACTTGTGTATGTTCTATATTTGCCATCAATAATTCCGAGCGGCTTGCGGCTTCATTTTGAATAAGAAAATATATTGTAAATAAATAATAAGCAACAAAAAAAGTGGTTGAATTTCGACAGTGCTGCTGCCAGGGCAACACGCACATATATATACATATATACACACACACACACATACACCGCGCGCGGTCAACTAGATATGAAGTATGTGGCAATAGACAGAAAAACTGAATTTAGCAGCGGGTATATAATGAAGGGGATGAAACAGGCGCAAGATGCTTCGACAGATGCTCTAGTGCCCAAGAAAAATTGAGCGTAAAAAAATTAGATGACTAGGATATGTCTAGAAATGCTTTGGACAGTGAACCAGATTAGTGAGAGGCTCGTTTGGTTTGGTTTGTTGTGCAAACAGAAACAATAAAATTATAAAATCATATGCAAACTTGAAGCGACAGTTAAATATCGCAAAGGTAACCAGGCAACAACAGCAAGGGCAAGGGCTGATTATGATTAGTTGGATTTTTGCTAGATAATCACGTTCAGAAGTGTAAAAAAGTAATGCTTAAAAGTAAGTCATTGGCCCAACTGGATGAGTTGTGGAATTGCCGAATATATTTGCATTTCCTAAAATGAAATATTTAAGCAACTTGAAAATCCATTAGTTTTCGCTCTTTTATATTTGCATACGTAAAGGCATGTTGCGTATTATTTTTTTTTTAGAAAATGTTGATCCATCAGTAATCAATAAATCAAGCTTTACTAATGCATAACTTAGAATATGACTTTTCTTAATTTTTTGTAATAGACTACCAAATTTTCGACGACCAATTGGAGTTCTTAGCCGCAACGATGAAGTTTGACAGGATATTGAGAAAATGCGTCACAGAATAAAAATAAAAAATTAATAAGCACAAGAAATTAGGAGGCTTAGGTTGGTTTTACTCAATGAGCTGGACATCTTTAGTTCGAGCTCCCTAACCGTCACTACTTTTCTACTTGCTACCGTCTACGCTCGCCTCTCATTTTCACCATTTTCACTTTCGGCTCCCACTTGCCAACTTATAACTTACTTTGCTGTATCTTGCACAGACAATTCGGAAAAATCTTAAGCTTCAAAGCATCGACATGACACATTTTTGCTGTGGCATTTTTATTTTACTTGAGCTATGCACGCCTGTGTTTGTATGTTATGGGTGTGTTTGTGTGTGTGTGCCTTTGCAAAGGTCAGAGTAATAAGCTCTGTGACGGCTAAGTTAGTTGGTTAGCTGGGGCTGTTGAGAAAAACATACAATAAATCATAAAATAGGCAAAAGGCCACACGCCAGCAATTCCAACAGAAAGGAATTCTCTGAGGGCTTATGTTGATGTCGGTGTTGGGGGAGGGGGGGGGTGCAGGCGTCTTCGTGGTGTTGGCGATTGAGTGTATGTTGTGTTAAAGGTGGAGTGGTAGCTAAAGTTGCAAACACACGATGGCCAATGCGAACGCGTGTCTGGGCACGTCTGGACACGTCGTCGCCGTCTATGCTGAAGACGGTGGCGCCACGTAGGCAACATCAACAGCAAAGGCAAAGGCACCACCAATAGCAACAGCAATAATCAAGCAGCAAAAAACAACAAATAGAATTGCTGGTGTAGCCAGAAGCAAGCAGCAGCAGTAGCAGCAGCAAAAGGGCAATGGCAACAATTCATCAATGCCTTGGATGACGCGTCGTATGCGTAATGAAAACAAACCAAAACCAACTGAAAATGAAAATGCTCAACATAAAAATAAAGAGAAATAGGATAGAAGCCCAAAACGGGCCTAGTTGCAAAACAAAGAACATGTTACAGATTCGACTCAAACTTTTGTCCAGAGAATTGGGCACGAAATCAAAACAAAACAAGCAGTTGGCGAAATGCCCGCGAAATGGTTGTCGAGAACACATAACTCAAAACTGACGCGGCACGAACCTAAAGCAGTTGAGCTAAAGCGTATGTTGACTGTGGTGTGGAGCGTTGGGGGGTGCTGGGGGCCGAAAATTCTGACTCTAACTCTGATTCTGAGCGACCGAAATGGCTGAAATGTTGATTGGCAGCCCACTCACACATACATACAAACACACTCACAGTCAACGAACAAAACGCATAAATACTAAATGATTGGCAGCATAACAAAAAAGCGAAAAAAAAGGAAGCGAAGCAGGGTGAGAGAAATACCACACAAAATGACCGCAAAATGACGAAGGATGCAGGCGGCGACGCTTCAAAGGGAATCTGCGGCGACCCGTAGGCGCCCATTGCCACCTTATAACCCCGCAGAGTAGCGGAGGAGGAGGGGGGTGGGGTGTTGAGGGACGTTTGTGGTATGGCTCGAACGCTTGATTGATTTCTACAACTTTGTGCCAAGTTCACTTCGCTTTTGAGTGTGTTCTACTCTGTAGTCTAAATATGCAAAGCGGGTACCAAGAAGTTGAACGAGTGTTATATATGTATATATAAGTAAGTAAATGTATATACAATATAGATCTGGGAAAAACGTAAGTTAAGCTACTCATTTGTGTATATCTATATTTCTATCTGTTTACCTATTTATCGAAAACTTTAAATTTTAAAAAGGCATTCTTTTTACTTATTATTGCTTTTTTGTTAGCTCTCCCATTACCCAACACACTTACATTTAAAATGCATCAGTTTGTGCTATGTTATGTGCTAGAGGGTATCTGCTGGTCGCAACTCACTTTTGACTACAACAGTGGAACTAGCTGCTGCTGTCGTTTTGTTTCAATTTCGATTTTGGAAATCGACAAAGCGGAGAAATCAGTGCCTTGCCATTAAAGAGAAGAAGAAGAGGAACGAGAAAAGTTAACCCTGGCACATCGAATATCATATACCCTTGTGGATGGATAAATAAATGTCCAAGGTGGGCATGAAGCCCATTATTGGAGGGAAACTGCATGATTTAGCAGATTCCGTTAAATGTACTGCCTGCAGACATATGTTATGTTTTCAAACGGACAGACTACCATAATAGAATTTTACTAACTGAACTTACCACAAAAAGTTGAATCTCAATGGAAAGTAGTGCCATTTAAATGGGGATGGCTAAAACTTATTTTCCAAAAGGAAAACATTGTGGGCGTTTGTTGGTCTTGGCTACAGGCTATTTTTTTAAAAAATATTTTATTAATTTTTTTGTTTTTTTGGGGCACTTGAAAGTTTGCTAATGATGATTTTAATCGATCAGGCGCATAGCTGGATGGGACCAGACCTCACCTGGTACTTTGTAATCAAGCCATCAAACTCGAGTAAAAGCAAAAGTAAAAGTACTAGAATCGCTCGATATGTTTAACGAATATGCGAAGAGGGCTATGCTACGTGAGGCTAGGAGTTGAGGGCAATCGTGTGTATGTGCGTGGCATGCTGATTTTGAGCGTTGTAACGCAACGCACGACGCACTGCGGCAATTAGACAAACACTGCCGCAGCGGGTAGCAACATCCGAAGGAAGGTAGTTCAGCGAGTGGAAAAGAAAAATGGCTTAAAGGAATGGGAGTACAAATGGAAAAGGGAATGGGAATAAATTGGGTATAGGAAAGGTCATGACAACAAGGACAGCTCAATGTGTGTTGAGGCATTGGCATTCGGAATGCTTACAAGCAATGTGAGAGCAGTTGAAGACGTTGAATATAAACTTGGCCAAAGACATGTGTAAGAACAGTCTCGAATACTCTGTGCTCAACATAATAATCATAATAATAATTTACATAGGAACTTATTTTTGTTTCTTTCTTTGTACACGTTTTTAGCTATTGCGACACACTAAACTTAATAACATCAAGAATTTGGATGTCGTACTATAGAAGATATGAGTCAAGCACTTAAAATAATATTTGAAACTATGGCTTTAGCTGGCTGGCTATATATCAATGGAATAAGTCACATCTGTGGAACAGAACAGTAGGCAAAAAAAGATGACAAAACTAGAACAGGAAATAGTTAAATTTGAGTTCTTAATTATAGGGAAAATACACAAAGATGACAAGAAAATGGTAACTAAACTTAAAATTTGAAATTACACCATCGAGTTGCTTTTTGGATTTTCAAAGACATAAAATATATTTTCCTTTGAGATATAGGTCTAGAGAAGGAACCCATAATTTGGGTTAGTTACGAGCCATAACCATTTCATGCGATTAATTACAATTCTTATTGCGATATTTGCCTTAAGATATTAGTCTGTGAATATCAGGGAGTAATGACAGATAAACGCTATTTATTATAGTTTTTACCCTGTCGGTGGCTCTAATTGCTTTTGTGGACCTTTGATAATGGAG